CCTGCTGGGCCAGGCACACGAGGGGACGCCAGCAGGACACACGGGCAGCTCACGTTTCCTGTCCTGGATCTGACGTTAAGAAAACGCAGCAAGACCCATTTTCATTCACCAAGCGGAAGAGAGATCCTCAGTGAGAGCCAAGGAGCCACCGGGCTGCACCCCACGGAGCATAGCGGTCTCTCCCCAAGTCCTCCGCGTTAGGGGGCAGACGGCTGTGTGAGCCGTGCAGCGCTGGGAGGGCTCAGTCCGCATGGCCGTGTGCTGTCCCGTCTCCTCACCCCTGTGCCCCCCTCCCCACTTGGTCCAACAGAGGCACAGCTCTGCCTCCAGACGGTCCTCTCCACTCCTCGCCTTCCTCCTCCAGGCAAACTCTGCATTTTAAATTTTTTTCTTTTTCCCCAAAGCAAATCTCTCTCTGTCTGTCTCTGTCTCTAGGAACCGAGGTGAGACTCACATAACATGACCGTCCCCATTCTAACGTGGCGCTTGGCGCATCCTGGCTCTGTCTAGTTCCCCAGAAGGGAACCCGCACCCACATTCAGGCCTCCCCGTGTTCTCCCCCAGCCCCTTGCTACCTGTCCCCAAGATTTGGGTCATAAGAAAAAGGGGGGAACCCCAACAAAATGCATAAGCGTCACAGGCCAAGCACGAAGTTTGGTCTACTTAGAGTCTAGGAGCAAGCTTTCTCTGTGAATTCTGGCGAGTCGACTTTGCTCCGCGGGCAGGGCCCTCCCCGTGACCGCGGCTGTGGGTACCTCCGGATTTTGCCCAGCGACTGGCGGAATCTATTTCTACAGCACAGAGCCCGCTGCTGCCCGCGCTGGCCAGGTGGTGCCGGGCGCAGCCCACAGCCGCGGCCGGCGCGGGTGCTGGGGAGCGCAGGACGCGTGGACCCCTGCTCGCCGCGTGAAACGCCTTTTCAGCCCGGCCGGAGGTGGCTTTTGCAAAAAAGCGAGACGAGGGTCTAAGCGGACGCGGTGACCGAAGGTGTTCCTCGACCCAGGAGGCAGCCGGGTTACCCGCTTGTCCTCTGCACGGCGCCCAGATGTCAGCAGAGCACGGAGGGGGCGGCGGCGGCGGGGGGGGGGCGACGGGGGGGAGTGTGTGATGCGGGCCACGTCCTCGCCCGTGCAAGTCCTTCCAGGACCCGAAAAACCGAGCGCGCGCTTCGCAGGCCGTGGCGGGGACGCCGGCTCTGGTTTCCACTAAGGCGGAGTGGTTTTTAATGTAACGACCACGCGGATCATTTTTCTGACAATCAAAACGCACAGGAAAGACAAAGGACGGGGGTGGGGGGTACACTGGGGTCCCGCAGGGGACAGACGGGAGCAGCGGCTGCCCCCCCAACTTGCCCAGAGGACCCGCCCAGCGCGGACTCAGGAGGCGACAGGCGACCGCCTGCGGCCGCGCACCGCCCCGCCCCGCAGCCGCCCCGTGGTCGCTGGGACGCCAGCCGCGAGCGCGTGCACGCTCCGCCGGTGCTGCTGCTGGTGTCGATATCACAGCGTGCGCTCCGCGAATGCCCACTCCGGCCTACGGGTACGTGGCTCGCCCGCCCCGGCCCCCGGCCCCGCGCCCCGCGCCGGCGCCCCGGAGCTCCTGCGGCGTTCCTTCCGCTTTTCAAAATGCAGCAGAAGAAAAAAACATAGCATCGCCTCCCCGTCGGGGAATCGAACCCCGGTCTCCCGCGTGACAGGCGGGGATACTCACCACTATACTAACGAGGACGGGCCGCGCTGGTGGCGCTCCGGATCCGATCCTATAGAAACGGCGCTCGCGGGCCGCCCGCACACCCACCCAGGCCGCGGCGGCGGCGGGTGCCCTTGGCCTGGGCCCGCGGTACCGCAGAAGTCGCTGGCGCTGGCCGCTGGCCGCTGGTCGTGCTCCGCAGCCCGGCGAGCCCGGCGAGCCCAGCGGTCTCTCTCCCTATCAGCACTTCGGGAAGCGATTACCGCCGGCAGGGGATGTAGCTCAGTGGTAGAGCGCATGCTTTGCATGTATGAGGCCCCGGGTTCAATCCCCGGCATCTCCACTTTTACTCGCTTGCCCTGCCAGTTGCGCACCACCCTGGAGGACAGTCCAGGATGTCCGTAGAGGGCAGCAGGTCCCTCTGTCGCCCAAGCTAGGGTCCCTGCGGGGCTGAGACGCGGGGCCCCGGCCTCGCGCACGCGGGACCTCCACGCTCGTCCTGCAGATGGCGCTCGCGCCTGCGGGACGGAGGCGACCGGCGGTGCGAAGGCTGGAGGAGCGCAGGCAGTGGGCTAGAGTTTGTCCGAAGGCCCTGGAAGGCTGGGCGGGGCTACAGGGCTCCTTCCGGCCACCACGTGGAAGCCACCCCCAGGGCCAGGTGCGAGCTGGTGCAGGCTCGGTCTGGCGGCTGCCGTGCAGGTGGGGGCGTGCGGCTCTGCCCTGTGGGTTCTGGAGGTCGTCGCCTGACACCCCCAATCCAGGGCGCCGCGTTTTGCCCTAGCGATCCTGTCACCTCCCTGCCTTGGGGCGGTGACTATGGGGCAAGGTCGCGCCCAAACCGGGCCAGGTCCACGTCTGCCCTCAAGGGGCTGCTTGTTTGCCAGGTTCTGTGCTGGACTCACCCAGGACCCACACCCCTGCTCTCGCCAGCCGCGGGGTGGGGGTCCTTCCTGACGTCGGCACCCACGGCTGAGCAGGGCACTTAAGGTGGTGAGATGGCTTCGCAGCAGGTGGGCGGGAGCAAGGCCCAGAGCCCGGGACAGGGAGCAGCGCTGGGGCTGCTTGGGGCGGGGGGTGAGTGGCCCCGGAGGCGCGGCACCTGCCCACCGCCAGTCTGTGTAGATCTGACTTATTTGAAAGCCAGAGTAAGGGGGAGAGAATCTTCATCTGCTAGCTCGCTCCCCAAATGGCTGTGGTCAGCAGCCCTGGGAGGGAGCTACCAGGACTCTCACCCCCGTTTCACAGAGAGGAAGCTGAGGCAGAGATGGGCCCAGCGTGGGTCACAGGCTGGGAAGGGTCAGGCAGGGCCTGGAGCCGAGGGCCTGACTCAGGACAGCGCTCACTTCTCCAGCGGCTCCCCATGTCCCCCCCCCCCCCCAACATTTATTTGAAAGAGTTAGAGAGACTGACAGAGCGAGCCATCATCCATCCACTGGTTCACTCCCCGATGGCCAGGGCTGAGCCAGGCTGAAGTCAGGAGCCTCCTCTGGGTCTCCCACGTGGGTGCAGGGGCCCAGGTTCTTAGACCATCCTCCACGGCTTTCCCAGGCGCATTAGGGAGCTGGAAGTGGAGAAGCTAGGTCTTGAGCTGGTGCTCTGATACGGGGTGCAGGCCTGGCAAGCGGCAGCCTAACCCGCTGTGCCACAGCGCCAGTCCCGCCACGCTGCCTTTGACCACGCTGCCTCATTGGAGGGGAGTCCTCACCAAGGCAGTGCCAGTCTCCGTGGACAAATGACCACCTTTCAGCTGTGGGCTCCTCAGGCCCAGCTCGCAGGGCTCGTGCCCGGGTGCACACAGGTGTGAGCGGCACGCACAGCAAGGTCAGAAAGCACCTGCCACGGGTCTGCTCTGGAACCACGGCGCTCGGTGAGGGAGGAGGCAGGGACTCAGGCACCTACACCTTTTTTTATTTTTTTTTAAAGATTTATTTATTTGAAAGTCAGAGTTACATAAAGAAGGAGAGGGAGAGAGGGAGGGAGAGAAAGGTCCATCCGCTGGTTCACTCCCCAAATGGCCACAACACCCAAAGCCAGAAGCCTCATCTGGGTCTCCCACATGGGTGCAGGGGCCCCAGGACTTGGGCCATCTTCTACTGCTTTCCCAGGCCACAGCAGAGAGCTGGATCAGAAGTGGAGCAGCCAGGACTTGAACTGGCGCCCATATGCCAGTACTGCAGGCGGTGGCCTTACCACAGTGTTGCAGTGTTGCAGGCGGTGGCCTTACGCCACAGTGTTGGCCCCACACCTGCGCCCTTTATCTGAGTCCTGCGCTGATTTGGGGACATCAGAAAGGACCAGACACAGACGAGAGAGGGTTCCCCTGGGGACACGTGTATGAGGCGTATGTTAGTCTAGAAATTGAGCCATGCCTCTGCGGTCAACCAGTCTGTGACATGGGTGCCGACCCCCTTCACAAGGCCTGGGACCAAGCGTGTGGGCAACCCGCCTCACGCCACACACCAACACACACTCAACACGGACTGCAGATAGCAACGCTCGAACTCGAGGGGGACGACGCAGTGACACTGGCCTGGGTGAGGCTTTCTTAGCTACGACACCCAAAACACAAGCAGCCAGACCCGCCAGTGGGACACCAAGGCCACAAACACCGTCCCCCAAAGGACGCTATCGGGAAGGTGGAGCCGACCTGGGGGAGAGACCTGCAGAGTATACGTGACACAGGCTTGTTCTCAGGATGCTCACAGCTCGCTCCTGTGGCCAAAGGGTGGACACGACTCACGTCCACCAACACGTGGACACAGAACACGGTGGCCGGTACAGCGGGCTGTGGCTGAGCCGTGGGAGGGAATGAGGTCCTGACACCTGCTGTGGCAGGGAGAACCTTCCCGGCGTGAAGCTGAGTCCAGCCAGACACGGGCCACGGAGCACAGGAGTGCCTTCATGGATGGGGGTGCCACGAGGGCTGGTGGACAGGCAGCTTAGTGGCCGCTGGGGCTGAGCACGGCTCTAGGACTGGATGGTAAAGCCAGTGGAGTGCCACGCCACGGGCAGTACGGCAAAACCTCAGAGCTCCGGCTGAGGAGGTGGGACCAGATGGCAAAGGAGGCAGGGTGACTGTGCAGCCACCACAGCGCCCGAGACGGCGGCTGGGGGAATGGCGCCCTGTTCCCATCTGAGCGGCCAGGACTCGTGCTGTGTGGTTCTCTGGAGAACCTCCCCTAGCCGGTAGCAGGGGATTATCGCTCCCATCACGGGCAGGTCGGGCTCTGCAGGCTGCCCATGCATGCGCAACCCAGGGGCAGCCTGGGTGGGGCCGAGCCCCAGGCCGCAAGACGGAATTTGCAAAGGGCTTAAAAAAAATTTATGTATTTATTTGAAAGGCAGAGCAACAGAGAGGGAGAGACAGACACACACTCTGACACAGAGACCCTCTACCTCAGTCCACTCCCTCACGTGGCCATGCCAGCCAGGACTGGCCAGACTGCAGTGAGGGGCCAAGAACACCATCTGGGTCTCCCACGTGGGTGGCAGGGCCCAAGCAGTTGAGCCATCACCGGCCACCTCCCCAGGGTCATCAGCAGGAAGCTGGGTGCAGAGTGAGCAGGCACAGGGATATGGGGCGGGGGCGTTGCTGGCCCCTGCCCAGGGCTTTGAGAGCCTGGCAGGTGAAAAGCCCCCACCCCCAGGGGGTTCAGGAGGGGGCTGGGCAGACAACTCAGGCCAGGCCCCCGAGTCTCTCCCTGAGTCACTGCACAGCACAGCCTGAGTGGCAGGAGCGCTTTTATTCAACAACCACTCCTACCACAGCCCACAACCAGGACGCCTGGGACAGAAGCCACCCAGACCAGAGCATGGCTCTGGGCAGAGCTCCTGACCCCTTGGTCCCGAGGGGTCTTCCCACTCCTCCTCTCCTGAGGACCTCCTCTGTCCCCTCCCTCCCACCTCCACCCTAGAAAAGAAGAGGGGGGGTGTCTTTTTTCTCTTGGCCCATTCCAGGCCAAGAGAACACGTGTGTGTCCCGTCAGTGTGGTGTGGCAGAGGGGACGAGAGATGGCCAAGGTCAGCTCCTTGCCGTCTGAGCCGATCACCAGGGGCACACGACCCTGGCCACATAGCCACACACAGGGAAGGGCCCGTCTTCCCTGTGGGTGGGCCCGTCTTCTGGGTGGCCCTGGGCCCCCTTCCCGTAGGGAGGGGCTCCACAGTGCCGGGGAAGGGCCTGCAGACACCCCGGGCCATGCTCCCCAAGGGTGAGCGTGGTGCAGAGCGTCTTCACCACAGGGTCCACCTGTGACCTGAAGTCCTCACCCACCATGAGACAGTCTCCCCGCAGCACCCGACACACAGCCAGGACCAGTGTCCAGGCCCACGGGCTCGTCCAGAATCCACGTGGGGTGGACGAGGCTCGCCCAGGGCCTTGGTGAGCAGGGGGTGGTCAGGTGACCATGCCAGGTGGTTCCAGCGGCAGCGCACTGCACTCCCTGTCCCCAGTCCTCGGCAGAGGCAGGCGTCGGCTCAGGGGTCAGAGGCCGGGGGCCAGCCCTTCTCGACGTCGGCGTGCATGGCTTGCGGGAGCCACTCGCAGTACTGGGTCAGCAGGTCTGCAGGCCGAGAGGCTGTCAGGGCCCCGCCCCCTCGCAGGGCCCCGCCCTGCCCCCTCCCACTGAGCCCGGGGCACTCACACTTGGGGCTTCTCTTCCACGCGGCCAGCAGGGCGTCGCGGCAGTCGGCCTTCTCGGCCACGAGGGCGCTCAGCAGACTCTGTGTCCTGGGCTGCAGCCTGTTGGGCAGTGCAGGTCACACATGTGCTCTGGACTGCAGGATGGGTGGGGCCCGAGAGTGGGGGCACTGCCACTGGGTAGCCCTGCCCGAGAGGGTGAAGGGCAGCCCAGCCATCCGGGACAGAAGGATCCAGAGCCGCCCCTCCCACCACTCTCATTTTCCCTGCCTCTGGCCCAGCCACCCTGGCTCCCTCACGTCTCGCTCGCCCCCTCTGGCCCTGCTCCCTCCCAATCCGCTCAGCCAGGCCCTCCCTGACCCCCAGCCACCAGGACTCCTTCCCCCTGCCGGACCCCTGGGGGCTGTGTCACCTCTGCCCCCTGCAGGCTTCAGGGACAAACGCGTGCCTGGGTCCCTGCACCGGGTGCATCTTGGAGACGGGTGCTGGGAGTCCCCGGCCCGTCACAGCCTCGCAGGGACCTCAGCCCCCGTCCTGAGCTCCGGGAAGAGCACAGCTGGGTGCTGGCGCCCACCCGCCCGCCCCTCAGGCGGTTCCTAGGCCCCCAAGCCCTGGCACCACCTCCAGCAGCAGCACAAAAGTGTAGCTGAGGAAGAAGCGGTGGGAGTGGAGGTTGGGTGCAACGAGGGGCATCATCCAGCTAGCAGCTCCGTGGGGGGGACTCAGATCCCACCCACAAACCCATGTCCACCCAGAACCTCAGAAGTGACCTCCCGGGGACAGGGCCCCAAGCCCAGTGACAGGCGTCCTTAAAGGGCAGGATGCACAGAGCCCCAGCAGACACCGTAGCCAGGCAGCTGCAGGTGGGCAGCCGAAGCCAGCAGCCACGGGAGGCCAGGGAGCCTTGGCAGGAGGACGTCCCCCAGTGTGTGGGCTCCGTCCTGGGGGCCCCAGAGAAGGCACATGGGCTCCCACCACTGCCGGACGGCCGGGCTCAATGCTCGGGGGAAGGCTGTACCTGGCCCACGTCTTCAGCATTGTGCTGGGGCTGGACAGCAAACAGCTCCGGTACGCCGCCAGCTTGCGGAAGACCTGTGAGAGACCGCACAAGGGCTGGGGGCCCGGCCCTCCTGCCCACGGCACCTGAGCAAGGGGCGGGGAGGCCCGGCTGCCTACCTGCCCTTCCAGCAGAAACCGCGCAAAGTGCTTGTAGCGGTCGACGCCCTCCGGAAAGTCCACCTGCACAGCGGGGAGCGGCCAGCCCACGCGATCTGCAGGGTGGGCGCTGGTGAGGAGGGGCCCTGCGAGCCCAGGCCCAAGCCCCGGGCCCCGGCCCCCAGCGGGGCAGGAGGTGCCTCGACTCACAGAACACGCTGGCACGGTGACACAGCACCCGGCCTTTCTCAGGGCAGTAGGTGGGGGCCGGCTCCTCCAGGGGCTTGTCAAACTGGCAGTAGGAGGGCAGCAGGACCGGGATCCACTGGACATCCACAGTGGAGACACCTGGGACCAGGAGAGGGCCGGATCCTGCTGGCCGCTGTTCGTCCCCCTGCCCCCCCCCCCCCATCAGGGCCACCAGCCGGCACCTTTCATGTACATCTTGGTGGTCTCCATGATTTCCTGGTAGACCACGAACTCGGGGAGCTCTCGGAAGAGGACGGAGCTGGGGTGGATGAAGACGGGCTCGTCCAGGAGAGGGGTCTGCACACGAGGAGGGAGGGCACGTCAGGGAGAGCGGCACGCGCCAGGGGGCCCGTGCTTTTAACCCACAACACCCACAATGGCAGGAGCGGGTGCCCTAGCCACGGACAGCTGGGTTGGCTGAGAGGGAGACGGACGCCCAGGCACAGCTATGACGCCACCCAGTGGCAAATGTGATGCGGCAAGCAGGCGGGGCCCAGGCTCCTGCCGCAGGGCCCACTGAGAAGGAGTTAGGGGGAGGGGGTGGCGGGCTGCTGAAGGGTCCAGGGGTCCTGTCTTTTCTTTCTTAAAAAAACTTTATTTATTCACATATTTAGATTTTTTTGAAAGGCAAGGTGGTAGCAACAGAAAGAGAGATTTTCCATCTGCTGGTTCATTCCCCAAATGCCCCCAGGAGCCAGGGCCGGGCCAGGCCAAAGCCAGGAGCCCCATCCAGGTCTCCCCCATGGACACAGTGATGAAATATTCTATGGGGCAGCCGTTTGGCAGAGCGGTTCAGACCTGCCGGAGGGGCCGGTGCTGTGGGGCAAGTGGGTAAAGCTGCCGCCTGCAGTGCCAGCGTCCCACATGTGTACAGTTCTCCACCCGGCTGCTCCACTTCTGATCCCGCTCCCGGCTGATGTGCCTGGGAAGCAGCAGAAAATGGCCCAAGTCTTTGGGTCCCTGCACCCATGTAAGGGACCTGGAGGAAGTTCCTGGCTCCTGGTTTCCGATTGGCCCAGCTCTGGCCATTGCGGTCATTTGGGGCAGGAACCACTGGATGGTCTCTCTGCAGCTCTGCCTTTCAAATAAATAAATAAATCTTAAAATAAAAAAAAAAAATAAACAGAGTTTGCTGGGAGGCCTGAAGCTCCTATCGGAGTGCCTGGGCTCAAGTCCTGGGCTCTCCTTTATTTATTTTTTTAAAGATTTATTTATTTGAAAGGCAGAGAGGCAGAGAGGCAGAGAGAGAGAGAGAGAGAGAGAGAGAGAGGTCTTCCGTCTGTTGGTTCACTCCCCAGATGACAGCAATGGCCGGAGCTGCGCCAATCTGAAGCCAAGAGCTGGAAGCTCCTTCCGGGTCTCCCACACAGGTGCAGGGGCCCAAGGACTTGGGCCATCTTCTACTGCTTTCGCCGGCCATAGCAGAGAGCCGGATTGGAAGTGGAGCAGCCGGGACTCGAACTGGTGCCCACATGGATGCTGGCGCTGCAGGTGGCAGCTTTACCGCTTCACCACAGCACCAGGCCCGGCTCTGCTTTTGATTCTAGCTTCCTGCTATAGAGCACCCTGCGAAACAGCAGGCGATGGCTCACAGGCGAGTCCCTGCTACGCAGGGGGGAGACTCTGACTGCCACTTCGGCCAGGCATCTGGGGAACGAACCAGCAGGCAGCAGACCTCACTCCTTCTCTGCCTCTTGGAGAAATAAAATGGACTGAAAACAGAAAGCTGGGGGGCAGCGCCTGGTCCTGCAAAGGCAGACTGCACTGTCTGTGGCCTTCCCAGGACGGGGGGGACCTGGGACGCAGGCACACGGCGGGGAGACGGGCGCCCACCTTGTAGCCATTCCTCCACTTGTCGTCCAGGAGATCCTCGCTGTGCACCCTGCGGGCCAGGTGGTCGCCCAGGCCGGCCGTCACGATCTGCCGCAGGTAGGTCACCTGGCTCTCGGTGGGAGGCTGCATCTTCGGATCCACGAAGAGCTCGGCCTCGGGGCACACGGCGTTGACTGGAGGGGGCGCCGGGTGTGAGGGCAGTGGGGGCAGCGCGGGCCAGCTGGCTCTGCTGGATGTCAGCTCTGGAGGGCCCCACGTGCGGAGCTGGGTGCCTGGCACCTGCCGGCCTGCTCCCCCCATCGAGCCCCTCAGCTGCCCCCCCCCCCCCAGGTCAAGCCCCAGCTCCAGTGAGGACGGCAGCGGTGCGCTGGCAGGCAGCCTGGACTGGACCCTGGGCGTGCTCCTCAGGGGAGCAGCGCCCTCGGCCCAGGCCCCCTCCTCCTCCCTGGAGAAGCACCGGAGGTGACGGCGGCTGCACCTGCACCCGCACCCGCACCACCTGGAGCCGATGCTGAGGAGTGGGGCTGGGGAGGCAGCCCCAGGGATGCACCTGGCAGTGGGGAGAGCAAAAGCGCTCAAAACTGAGCCTGCCCCCGACTAGCCCCAGGGTGGGCACAGTGGCCTGCCTGGGAGAGCACGTCCTGTGTTCTCTCTGTGCGTCTCCCCTGAGGCCCCCAGCTGCTGTGCCCAGGCACTGAGTCCAGGTGGGAACTCATCCTGCCCGAGAAGGGGCTGTGAGGCCCGGGGCACGGCTGAGGAAGAGACGGGCTCGAGACAGCTGCTGGGAGCAAGGGAACGTCCTCAGGGCACCACAAGGGCACCCCACGCACAGCCCTGCAGGTGGAGCTCTACCTGCAGTGGTCAGCTGGCCCCGCAGGCGCCGGATCTCCAGCATGGCCTTGTACCGCAGCCCGTTGGCTTCACAGAACCGGGGCGAGCAGCCGGCGTACTCGCAGGCTCCTACAGCGCCTGCAGGAGGAACCAGGCGTGCTCACTCCCGGCCCACTCCAGGCCCGACGCCCCGCCTTCTCCGGGTCCCTGGCAGCCGGTACCCACCCAGCAGCACCATGAGGTCACCAAGCTTCAGGGACGCCCCCTGCCCTGCCCACGTCCTCCTCATCTGGGCCACCCGGGCCCGCTTGTCCTTCAGCACAGCGAGTTCCTCATCGCTGGCAGCTGGCCTGCAAAACACACACACGCGTGTGCTGCCTGGGCAGGAACGTGTCTGCTACGTGTCAGGGAGCCTGGGGGTCACTGCCAGCAGGTGTCAAGATGGAGACCGTGCGTGGCCTCTTGGGCGATTCCACGCCCTGAGATGGAGAGAGAATTCCACAGAAGAGAACGGCACACATTCCAATACTGTTCACGGAAACCCCAACCGCGGGACAGCCCGAGTGTGACTCCGCGGATAACTACAGCAGCGGTCCGCAGACCTGGAATCCACAGCCTCTGGCGCGTACCCGCATGTTGGGCGTGGCCCAGAGAGGCTGCTTGTGTCAGTGGATTCAGTTCTAACCACCCAGCTGTTACCGTTACCATGCCCACATCCTTCAGACGCAGAACACGAAGCCGAGAGAAGCTGCGGTCCCTGGCAGCCGCGTCTCCCCGCCACGGGCCCACCGCACCTGTCCAGCTCCTCGAACAGCTCCCGCACAGTCATGGCGGCCACGATGGTGATGGTGTAGGGCAGGCAGTCGTGCTGCCGGCTCAGGGCCAGCATCTTGGCGTAGCGGGGTGCCACGGGGAAGGTGGCCATGGTCCTGCCCAGCGCCGTGATGGGGCAGCTCAGCCGTGAGCTCTGCAGCTGCTTCACCCTGGGAGGACAGCGCTGCGCTGGGAGGGGCTCCCCGAGGGTCGGAGCCACAGCCACGAGGCGTGGCCGCGAGCCAGCGCAGGCCCAGGGGAGGGAAAGGCGGGAAGAGGAGGGGAGCTGGGCCCTCCACTCGCCTCCACCCAGCCTCACGTACCTTTCTGCCTTCGGGGGGGCCTGCAGGGCCCCCAGCGCGATCAGCAGCTCCTCGGCAGCAGCCAGGGCCTCCACAGAGGGGGGCGTCGGGAAGGGGAAGTTGATGACCTAGACGGGGACACGTGGCAGGGACAGTGAATGCTGGGAGCGGGCACGGAGACAGCCCCTGCTGGCCGGGGCCAGGGTGCTGCCCCCACAGGACCCCCTCCCCAGGCTCAGCGCCCTGCTGCCCATCCTCTGAGCACTGCTCACAGCAGCTGGGGTGGGGACACTCAGAAAGGTGCCAAGGGCACCCTCCAAGTGCACGGGCAAGCCTGAGTACAGAGCCTCTCTCATCCCCCTCGCCGTCCAGCTACGCAAAGGCGGTGCTGGGCACAGCCTGTGTGCCGCCGGCTGTTCATGGCAATGGAGACAGCACGCACAGACAAGGCTTCTTGTCTCTGCCTGCGCACCACACTCATTGGAGCAGGAGGCCCCTGGGCAGCAGAGGGCCATGACAGGCATGACAGGAACAGTGGGGCAGGAGAGGGTACACTCAGCAACACAGCGAGGGGACAGAGCGCCCGGCTCTCAGATGGCGGCACCTCAGAGAGATGGACCAACTGAGCACGGGTGTTCAAGGAGACAGCTGTCCACGCATGCTCCCAGCAGCCCACAGTGGAAACCCCAGTGTCTGGGGACTGAGGACACATGGGCAGCAAAGGGGGGCTTCCCACACAGAGGGGCATGGCGCTTACTCCTGCTATGGCACGGATGAACCAGAGAGAAGCTAGTCACAAAGGCCCCATGGTATACATGGGCTGCACGGGTCTGGGAACTAATACTCCCGGAATGTCCACCTTGGAGGGTCAACTGTGGCCATGTGGATTGTGTCTCAACACAGCTGTTTTGGAGGAAGAGTGAGTAGGAGTGGAACCTAACAGGAAGGAGTCAGCCGCATGAAGACACGTGGGGCAGGGAAGTGCATGCTGGGAAATGAGGCCTGGGAGGAAGGTGCAGCGGCCCAACGAGGACTTGGGTTTGACTCAAGAGCAAAGGGAGGGGCTGATGCTGTGGTGTCGCGGGGGAAGCCATGGCCTGCAGTATCCCATAAGGCCCTGGTTCAAATCCTGGCTGCTCCACTTCCAATACAGCTCCCTGCTAATGTGCCTGGCAAAGCAGCAGAAGGTGGCCCAGGTCCTTGGGTCCCTGCACCCACATGGGAGACCTGGAAGAAGCTGCCGGCTACTGGCTCTAGCCTGTCCCAGTCCTGGCTGTGGCAGCCATTTGGGGAGTGAACCAGTAGATGGAGGATCTCTTCTCTCTCCCTGTAACTCTGCCTTCCAAATAAATGTTAAAAAGAAAAGAGAAAGAAATGAGCAAGGGGAGTGGCAGAGGCCGCTGGAGAAGTGAGCTCTGTCCTGAGTCAGGCCCTCGGCTCCAGGCCCTGCCTGACCCTTCCCAGCCTGTGACCCACGCGGGGCACATCTCTGCCTCAGCTTCCTCTCTGTGAAACGGGGGTGAGAGTCCTGGTAGCTCCCTCCCAGGGCTGCTGACCACAGCCTGAGGTCACACAGGCGAGGTGTCAGCACTTCTCGGCACCCAGTATACTATGGCTATTTTCATTTGGTCAAAAAAAATATTTAAGCCCCAAAAGGAATATAAAACATCCCATGTTAGAAAGCAAGCCACAGGGGCCAGTGCTGTGGCTCAGAGGGTTAATACCCTGGCCTGAAGTGCCGGCATCCCATATGGGTGCTGGTTCTAGTCCCGGCTGCTCCTCTTCCGATCCAGCTCTCTGCTATGGCCTGAGAAAGCAGTAGAGGATGGCCCAAGTCCTTGGGCTCCTGCACCTGCGTGGCAGACCCGGAAGGAGCTCCTGGCTCCTGGTTTTGGATCGGCTCAGTTCTAGCTATTGCGGCCATCTGGAGAGTAAATCAGCAGATGGAAGACCTCTCTCTCTGTCTCTACCTCTCTCTGTAACTCTTTCAAATAAATTAAATAAATCTTAAAAAAAAAAAAAAAAAGGCAAGCCACCAAGATTCGCTGTACTGTAAGTGCTGGTCTCTGCTGTGGCCAGGGAGTGCAGTGGAGGATGGCCCAAGTCCTTGGGCCCTGCACCCCATGGGAGACCAGGAGAAGTACCTGGCTCCTGCCATCGGATTAGCGCAGTGCACCGGCTGCAGCCTGCCGGCCGTGGTGGCTATTGGAGGATGAACCAACAGAAGGAAGACCTTTCTCTGTCTTGCTCTCTCTCACTGTCCACTCTGTCAAACAAAACAAAACAAAACAAAACAAAACTGTAAGTGCTGGAATTTGGGCCCCGCGGGCCAAGCTGCCGCCTGTGATGCTGGCATCCCACAGCTGTGCCAGCCAGAGTCTGAGACCTGCATGGAGTGCCAGGCTCCTGGCTTCAGTCTGGCTGTTGGGGCCACTGGAGCCATTTGGGGAGTGAATCAGAGGATGCACGCTCTAACTGATTTTCAAAAAATAATTAAATCTTTCAACAAAAACAAAGTCTGGAGAACAGAACCAGTAACAAAAGCCCCAGCTGGTGGATGAGGGCAGCCTCTGCTCTCCCCGGCACTCAGCTCCTGAATGCTCAGGTTCATGCCAGCAACGGCAACGAGGACACATCTTTAACAGCAACAGAAGCCACCGGCTTCCACCCCTACCCGCTGTGTGTCCCCGGCTCTGGCTTCCGCCCCTACCCGCCGTGTGTCCCCGGCACTGGCTTCTGCCCCACACCTGCCGTGTGTCCCCGGCACTGGCTTCCGTCCCCACCCGCTGTGTGTCCCCGGCACTGGCTTCCGCCCCTACCCGCCGTGTGTCCCTGGCTCTGGCTTCCGTCCCCACCCGCTGTGTGTCCCCGGCACTGGCTTCTGCCCCACACCTGCTGTGTGTCCCCGGCACTGGCTTCCGTCCCCACCGTGTGTCCCCGGCACTGGCTTCCGTCCCCACCGTGTGTCCCCGGCATTGGCTTCTGTCCCCACCCGCTGTGTGTCCCCGGCACTGGCTTCCGTCCCCACCGTGTGTCCCCGGCATTGGCTTCTGCCCTGCACCCGCTGTGTGTCCCCGGCACTGGCTTCCACCCCCACCTGCTGTGTGTCCCCGGCTCTGGCTTCTGCCCCCACCCGCTGTGTGTCCCCGGCACTGGCTTCTGCCCCCACCCGCTGTGTGTCCCTGTCCAGGGACCTTCACCTCCCTGCTCAGCTTCCTTAGCTGCTAGGTGGGGGCTGCCCACAAGCAGGGCGGGGAGGCCGACTGCGCTGACCTGCAGGGCACCTGACACCTGGCCGCGTGGTGGGGGCACTCTGCCTGGACCCCCCCATCCTGGGGATGGGTGAGGATCCCACCCTCCACCTACAGGACTGGGGAAGAGCCTGGGGACAGCCCACCGAGGTCACTGCTCTGTCCCCAGGGAGCCCAAAGGGGATGCGGCATGGGAGGGGGCAGTCACGGGAGACCCTGCCAGGCACCTGCTGACACAGGGCAGCAGCCGCGAGTGGGGCCTGACTCACCTTCTCAATGCTCAGCGCCTTCATCTGCAGGACCAGGTCTTCCACGGGCCTCCGGGTGATTTCTGGAGGAGGAAACTGCTCGAAGTCACCAAAAACTGCAGACGAATACAGCCTGGGCAGGGAGAGGCAGCACGGGAGAGCCAGCTCAGCCAGGCCAGCCGCCAGCCAGCCCTCCCGGCCATGGGCCAGGCCAGGCAAGCACCTCGTCCTGCCTCACCTTCCTCACCTGTGCAATGGGACAACAGTGGCCTCCCTGGGAGCAGACACCACACACGGACTGCTCACGACAGGGCTGGCCGCAGGGACTGCGCTGGGCCAACTTGAACTACGCTTGCTTCTGACCCATTTCCTTCCTTCCTTCCTTCCTTCCTTCCTTCCTTCCTTCCTTCCTCCCTCCCTCCCTCCCTCCCTCCCTCCCTCCAAAGGTCTTCCTTTTTGCCGTTGGTTCACCCTCCAGTGGCCGCCATGGCCAGTGCGCTGCGGCCGGCGCACCGCCCTGATCCGAAGCCAGGGGCCAGGTACTTATCCTGGTCTCCCATGGGGTGCAGGGCCCAAGCACTTGGGCCATCCTCCACTGCCCTCCTGGGCCACAGCAGAGAGCTGGCCTGGAAGAGGGGCAACCGGGACAGAATCCGGCGCCCAGACCGGGACTAGAACCTGGTGTGCCGGCGCCGCAAGGCGGAGGATTAGCCTAGTGAGCCGCGGCGCCGGCCTCTGACCCATTTTCTTGATATATTTTCTAAACTTTTAGCTTTTTTCATTTAAAACAAGGTCAGAAAGAAGAGCAAGAGAGCTATCAAAAACAACAGCACACAAACTTGGAAAACTTACTCACCAAGGACACTTCTGACAAGGCTGATGCCCAGATCACACAGACAGTTCTCACACACCCACGACACAAAGACAAACAGCTGAGGCTGCATGTTGTGCAGGAGAGGAGCCAGCTGTGCTGGTTAGAGACCCACCTGCTCCGCTTCCTGCTGAGGCAGCCTGAGAGTCAGCAGCCAGGAAGTGCCCGGGTCCCCCACACCCACGCGGGAGACCAGGATGCAGATCCAGGCTCACGGCCTGGCCCGGGCGAGCCTTGGCTACGGCAACCATTTGGGGAGTGACCCATCAGATGGAAGGTCTTTCTCTCCTTCTCATGTAACTCTTTCAAATACATGAATCTTTTTTTTTTTTTTTTTTTTCAAAAAAGACTAGGGGCCGAGTTCAGCAGTGGAACAAGGGACAAATGTGAGCATCTGAAAGCTGGCTGCCACGCCCCAGGGCCACGTGGCCCCTGTAGACGGAGGAGGGATAGCGCCTCTCCTCACCCTCAGTGGTGGCTGCACAGGAACCTGGAGGCCCACCTGTAGCAGTGGCCAGGCTCTGTCCGGCCCGCCCGGCCTGCCCGCTGGTCGGCCGACGCCTGGGAGATCCAGGTGACGCGGAAGGAGGACACGCCCGTGACACGGTCATAGTAGCGCTTCTTGACCTTGCCACAGTCCACCACGTACTTGATACCGGGGATGGTGAGGGACGTCTCGGCCACGTTGGTGGCCACCACACACAGCCGAGTGCCCTCTGGGGGTGGCCTGAAGACCTAAGGTTGAGGGGTGGGGGCGGGTGGCCAAGTCCATCCCTCCTGGGCCCCAGTGTCCTCTCAGAACCCCAGCCACTGCCCAACTTAGCACCGGCTCGCCCCCGCCCCCACGCCCTGAGCACCGTTACCTGCGCCTGCTTCTCTGGGGCCAGCAGCGAGTAGAGCGGGAGCACGTGGAGGGGGAGGGAGGCGTCCAGCTGCTCGCCTGCAGGGAGCAGAGGCTGCCGACAGCCCTGGACAGGACAGACCGCCCCGCGCCCTCCACCAGCCCTGCTGCCAGGGGCTCAGCCGTGAGATGGGCGAGGCAGGCAGGCAAAGCCTGGGGACCGGGGACAGACTCCCAAGGGTTCTCCTGTCACAGCTGCCACTGGGATTCCCTTCTCCCAGGCCGGTCCCATTGAAGTTGGGGTCAGCCTGTGGGGTGCCCCCCACAGCCCTAGGCTGCACACAGTTCATATACTTACGGCCAGGCACCCCCTGGTACCCCTGAGGCCTGTGTCCACACAACAGAGTGGGCCTGGGCGTGGTGCCCCCATGACACTCAACACCACAGGAATTGAAGCCCCTCACGCACCAGGCAGTCTTAGGAGCTCAGGGTGCAGCGTGGACAAAGCAGCCAGCAAGGCCAGCTCTCCCGCGGCTCACACGAGGACCCGAGGGTGGGATCTGGGTTCTTTGTAGCTGCCTCCCAGCGGGGGCTCCACACACTTGCAGACGAAGGACCTGAGTGAGGTTGAGAGTGGGACGCACCTCCGTCCGCCTCGTCATCCCCCAAGTCCAGATCGAGGTCGGAGCCCAGGGCCGCCTCCTCGTCGTCCATCTCTGCCTCCCGGTCCTCGTCACCCTCGCCCGCCGGCAACACCGAGTAGTTATCCAGGTTGATCGGGGGCAGTGTCTACACTCAACGAGACACAAAGAGCATGGGCTGTGGGCGCCCCGCTGCGGATGGCGTCGTGCACAGCACAAGCAAGCCCACGTACCCCGTGGGCCCTGGGACCCTCGGGCGGCCACTAAACATATCTGTTTCCTCACCCGAGAACTGGGGTTCACCTCCTGGGGCTGCTCTCAACACTGAAGTGCAACAGGTGAGAGCAAGAGGGGAGTCCACGCCGCCACCTGGGGGAGCCCTCCCAGCAGCCTCTGCTCCCACTCCCCAGCAGGGGATCGGCACAGGCCCTGCTCGGGGTGCCCGGGGCCCAGCAGCTCCGCGTGGTGCACCCAGGAGACAGGATTTCCCATTTCACTCCAATCCAGGGTGGGCTGGCGGCCACCAAGCTGGACACTGCGGCCCTGCAGCCCGAGCCCCCAGCACACCCCAGCCTACCGAGCCGGCACGAGCCTTTCTCGCCCTGGCCCGCGACTTCTTGAACTTCCGCATTTCTTCCGCCGAGTCTTTCTCGTCTTCCTTTTCTGCAAATGAGGGGAGGTGGGGAGAGAGACACCTGTGGCCAGGGCAGGGCAGAGCGCTTTGCTCCTTGTCACCCAGCAAAGCCACTGCCCGCGACCACTTAATTCAGGGGTGCGGAAGAGGCCGCCGACTCCAGAGGGAGAGGCGGGGCAGCCGGCTGAGCCCCAGACGGGGGCAGTGGGGGACTGAGCATGCGCACCCTGGTTACCTTTGGCCTGGGGCCTGGAGGGTGGGAAGGCCTTCCTGAGCCTGCGGCACAGAGCGTGCACCTCGGCCTGCCCCGTCAGGAACACCAGGATGCCACCTGTGGGAAGAGCCAGGCTCCGGTGTTACCCATCAGTCACTCAGCAAACACTTCCTTAGCAACCAGCACTGAGACACAGGCCCCAGGGAGCCAGACGGCACAGTCATGGGCGGACGAGTCACCCCCAGATGGAGGTGCCGTGAGACCCCACGGTGCCACTCCTGAGCACGGATCCACAAGGACTGGCCAGAGGTCTCACGAGAGCCTGCACACGTGTTCAGACCCCAGGCTGCGGGGAGGCTCCTCGCTGTGAGCACCTGGTGCAGCCCGGAGTCTCCAGACAGCGGCCGTGCACCCAGGAGGCCCTGCACCGAGACGACTTAGCAGGACAGGCACAGCGAGCGGGGACACGGGGTCTCACGTGTGCTGGAAGCACCCTGCCACTCTCAGCCTTGCAGCAGGGGCAAAGCAGCCTGGAGCCCAGCTTTGGAAGACCAGAGTCTCTGGTGAGAAGTGACCACAGCTACCACAGCTGCTGGGTTTTTGGGCTGTGTGTGTGCTAAGTGGTGCCGGCGCCCAGGACCATGGTTTCCTTTGGATGTCAATCCACTCTATCCTCCCAGCCAAGGGCAAGCCGGTTTGGTGACACCAGCTAAGTAAGGGGACACAGCCCTCCCCCTGGACCGTGCGTGGGCACCTGCCTGCGCCCAGGTGTTCTGCCATCAGGGCGGACGCAAACCCAGCCCTCAGCTGCCTGCTCCAGTCCACACTGGAGGCTCGCACTATTCTGGGCAGAAAGAGGCCGGGCAGGTGCCGCGAACACTCCAGAACCAGGGAAGAAACAGGCACGGCAAGGACGGGAGTGTCACCAGCCCCTCAGGGAGGGGCCGGGAGCCTGGGCCTCAGCCCCCGCCAGGCCCACCTGCAGGCAACATCCGGTGGATCTTGCACACCTTCCGGAAGCACTCGCCACTGTAGTCTTCCAGTGGGGTCCTCTTGTTAAAATGCACCGTCACCGGGAACTGCCGGGACTCCACCTGCAGGGGCAAGAGAAGACGTGGGGGGTGCTGCAGCCAGGAATACCCCCCTCTCCCCGATCTTGCTGCTTGTGTTTGAAACTGTGTTTATTTGACGGGCAGAGTTAGGGAGGGAGGGAGAGACAGAGATCTCCATCCGCTAGTTCACTCCCCAAATGGCCACAATGGCTGGGCTGGCCCAGGCTGAAGCCCGGAGGCAGGAACTCCATCCTGGTGTCCCATGTGGGTGGTGTCCATGGCTGCCTTCCCAGGCGCACCAACAGGGAGCTGGATCCCTGACCTGGGCCACAGCCTACAAACGCACACCTCTCCGCGTGACAAAGTGAGGTCCACCAGGAGCCTCCTCCCCCTGGTGAGGCTCAGAGGCCCCAGGAATTACCTTGATGACGGGGGGCGGCTGGGCGAAGAGCCGCTGGTTCTGGGTGAAGTCCTCTACCCGCAGCGTGGCCGACATGATGAGCAGCCTCAGCGGCAGGTGCCTCTGTGGGGGACAGGCCTGGCGACTCAGGTGCGGGCAGGCCTGCAGCCGCAGAAACCTGCTGTGCCCTCCCCACTGTTCCCCAGCCCCTCCGGTTCCCAAGGACCCCTGGTGGATGGGAACACACAGTGGGCCCTGCCTCCCCCAGGGCAGCGGCGCGCCCCAGCGTCAGGCTCTGCTGGCGGGCACAGCCACTGACAGCTCCCACCGGACGCCGTCACTGTGTGTGTGTCTGAGGTTCTGGGAGATGCGTGTGGCCGGGGGCCCTGGCTGTCACCCCAGACAGCCCCTGACACAGCCCAGGGGGGCTCTGCTCCTGAGCCCTTGCTGTCTTCAGCTGCTAGTGAGCCCCGGAGCCAGAGCCTGAGGCAGAGGCACAGCAGTCAGCATGTTTGCGGCCTCAGAGCCAAGCGCACGCAGAAGATGGGCCTGCAGACAGCAGATGAGAGGCGCTGTGGGGCGAGAATGTGGGCTGCAGCTGAGGGTCCTGGCTTCCTCCCGGGGTGATGAGTGATGAAATGCTCTGAAACTAACTGGCCAGGGCTGCACAGCTGAGGGTCCCAGAGACCACGGAGTCACACCCTGGAAACGGCTGTTACATGGGATGTGAGCGCTTTCTTGGAAAAGCTTGTCACAGAAATAAACCACACACTCAGGGCCTTTGTGCCGCTGCCCTCTGCTCCAGGGGTGGGCAGCCCTTTTCCTGCCGGGGCCATCTGGATCCTGACATCGTCTGCGGGCCACACAGAATGAAGCACCTGGAGCCAGCCTGCTACACAGCTACTGAATTTTGAGTCTCGTCTGCGGGTGCCTCGGCAGGGCTGACCCGGCCTGCAGGCTGGACACACACGTGCGCTTTCCCACACCTCTGCCATCCACCAAAGGCCACCTCTGCTTTGTGGTCCCCCCATGCCAGTCAGCTGACTCCCTGCCACCCAGGCTGCAGCGGGAGCCCTGGGAGGATGGGCACCAGCAGAACAAGACAAGGTCTTTGTCGCTGTTGGTTCCTAGGGCCTTGAACGTGGCGAGGGACGAGGAACCGCAGGGCATGGGCCTTTCTCCAAGGAGCTGACCCTTGGGAGGGAGGGGACACCTCCACTGTCCACTTCTGCCTGATGTCGGCAGGGCAGGAAATGGGGGTAGGTCACGGCTGGTCCTGGGGAGCCCATCTCAGGGCCCAGGGAGCCCCACTCGCTCTGCAGAGTCAAAGACCAGGAGGCCTTGTGAGGCCAGCTCCAGTGGGGGCCGGTGAGCCCTGGCTCCTGGCTGGGGCCTCTTGCTCTGGACAGGGGCAGATTGGTGTGGAGGCTGGATCCAGGCCCTTGTGGGAAGGGGTTGGGCGCGGGGATGAGTCACCCTATGAGACCTGCTTACAGCAGTAGTGCAGGGCAGACACAGGTGTGGGCAAGGGGGCCCAGCTCCTGACAGCACAGTGGGGTCCTCAGCCCTGGGGTTCGACCACCACCCCCGCCCCGCCTCCTGTGCTACCTTTGCCCGCAGGGACACGATGCGGGACAGCAGGCCGATGAGGATGTCGGTGTACACGCTCCTCTCGTGGGCCTCGTCGATGATCACCACCTTGTACTTCAGCAGCAGGAAGTCCTGGGCAGGGAGGCCGAGGGGTGAGGCCTGGGCCGCCACAGGAAGCCCCGGGCAGGGAGGCCGGGAGGGGAGGCCTGGGCCGCCACAGGAAGTCCCGGGCAGGGAGGCCGAGGGGTGAGGCCTGGGCCGCCACAGGAAGCCCCGGGCAGGGAGGCCGGGAGGGGAGGCCTGGGCCACCACAGGAAGTCCCGGGCAGGGAGGCCGAGGGGTGAGGCCTGGGCCGCCACAGGAAGCCCTGGGCAGGGAGGCCAGAGGGTGAGGCCTGGGCCGCCACAGGAAGTCCCGGGCAGGGAGGCCGGGAGGTGAGGCCTGGGCCGCCACAGGAAGCCCCGGGCAGGGAGGCCGGGGGGTGAGGCCTGGGCCGCCACAGCTGCTTTGTACCCCAGAGCTCCATTCCAGGAGCCCTGCAATAGCTTCTCCCACCTCCCCAGGCCTCGGTTTCCTTATCTGGGAGATGGGGACAAAGGCCCACACCCTGAGGTCTTGGGGAGGTCTCAATGTCAATTAAAACCTAGATGGAGCCAAAGCTGGCAGAGAACAGACAAGCACCAGGCAGCCGCTGGTCCCCCGGGCTGACCTACCAGACGCAGAGGCCAACAGGAAAGGGAGGGAGCAGACAGCGGTTCCCCACCTGGGCTCTGCCAGCCACCCTGCCAGTCTCACACCCTCGGAACACAGGCTTCCAGGGCTGGGGCGGAAGGCAAAGCTCTCTCCTCGGCACCAGGCTGGGCACTGTGCCCGGGACCCAGAGCCGCCTGCTCGCAGCTGCAACCAGACCAGGAAGGCCCGAGAGGACACGGTCAGGGTCCAGTAGGCTCCCCGCTGCTTCGCCAGCAGGGGTAGGCCGGCTGCACACACCAGGGTCAGTGGCATCCTCGTGCCCACCCCGGGCTCACGGGCCTTGCTCTGAGACAGAACAGGCAGCTCACCTTCTGGATTTCCTTGAGCAACACCCCGTCCGTCATGAACTTGATCCTCGTCTCTTCGGTCACGTTCCCTTCATACCGGATCTGGTAGGAGATGACCCTGAGGGGAACAGGGCAGGCTCCGGCTCAGGGAGGTGACGCCCACGCCTGCCGCTGCCTGGGGCTGCTCCAAGGGGTCAAGAGGAGGGCAGCACCCACCAGCTACCCAGAAGCAGCCTCAGCCCTCGCCCCAACCTGTTCTGCCTCTCCAAACCCGCGTTTGGCAAGAAGGAACCCATAGGAGGTCCCTGGGTCCCGTCATCTGGACACTCCCTGGGAGCAAGCTTGTGGGGACACCGGGATGTGGGGGCTCAGGACTCAGTTCCCAGTTACCACGGGCACCGTGTTGGGGCTGGTGTCATGGCACAGAGGGTTAAGCTGCCACCTGCAACACTGGCATCCTACATGATCACTGGTTCAAGTCTCAGCTGCTCCATTTTTTAAAAAAATATTTTATTTATTTGAAAGAGTTACAGAGAGAGGGAGAGGCAGAGAGAGAGGTTCTCCATCTGCTGGTTCACTCCCCAAATAGCCGCAATGGCCAGGCTAGTCCAGGCCAAAGTCAGGAGCCGGAGCTCCTTCCAGGTCTCCCATGTGCGTGCAGGAGCCCAAGCACTTGGACCATCTTCCACTGGTTTCCTAGGCTCATTGGCAGGAAGCTGGAACAGAAGTGGAGCAGCCAGGATCGGCACCCGTATGGGATGCTGGCACCGCAGGTAATAGTGTTACCCGGTTTGCTACAATGCTGGTCCCAGCTGATCCAGCTCCCTGCAAATGCACCTGGGAAGACAGTGGAAGAAGGCCCAAGTTTGTGGGCCTCTGCCACCCACCATGGGAGACCCGGATGGAGTTCCAGGGTACTGGCTTTGGCCTGGCCAACCTTGGTCACTGTGGCCATTTGGGGAGTGAACTAGTGGATGGAAGATATCTCTCTCTCTCTCTCTCTCTCTCTTTCTATCTCCTCTCTCTGCAACTCTGCCTTAAAAATAAATAAATAAATCTTAAAAAAAAAAAAAAAAAGGAGGGGGGAGGCATGTCTCAAAGTCTCTTTTTGCAGCCTACACAGTGAAATCTCTAAGGCAGAATAAGACACCCAACGCCTGCTTCTCACACAAGAGAGGTGCAGGTGGAACAAGGCTGGCCCTGAGCTCAGCTCCTGGAACTGGGGTCTTGGCAGCATGGGCCCCATTCAACTTTTGCATATGCCTGAAACTTTTACAATAAACTTAAAAATTTTACAATAGGGAGGGCACTGTGGTGCAGTGGGTTAAGCCACCACTGGGGACACCCATGCACCAGGGACTCAGCCCCATCCGTCCTAGCCAGCCTCCTAACAGGCACCTGGGGGCAGCAGGGGACAGTTTGAGTGCCTGGGCCTCTGCTACACACGTGGGAGACCCAGGCTGAGCTCCTGGCTGCTGGCTTTGGCCTGGCCCAGCCTGACCGTTGTGGGCACTTGGAGGAGTGAGCCACTGGATGAGATCTCTCTCTGATGTTCTGCTTTTCAAATAAATAAAAATTTAAAAATTTCCTTACTGTTTCTTCAAAAAAAACCTGTTTCTATAACAGAAGTTGAAATGGGTAAGATATAGAGTGGCGTGTACGGGATGCCACCATTAACGTACAGGTGAGTGACACCGCAGACAGAATCCTCTAGAAGAATCTGCAGGAACCGGGCAGTGGCTGCCTCCTAGGGCTGAGGGCACCCAGCACACAACAGCAGCAGCCTGCCCCACAGTGGATGGCAGGCCCTGAGTGCCCAGCATGCGCCTGCACACAGTAGGCGCTGCTTAGTGAGCACCACTGCATGCTCTTGTGGCTCCTGAACCACGGCCCACACTGGGCGAGGGACCTCGACCACCGGAGCCCGGGCGCCTGCGCTGTGAGCGCGTCTCCTGCAGCTGTGAACCCTGCTTGCTCCGCTCGCTGCTCCCACAGCCGTGTCCCACGCTCACCGCAGGGCGCAGCCCGCACTCCGGAACCCGAGCGCTCACCGCTGCTGGCCCCATCTCAGGTGCGTGTCTGTGCCACCTGCCTCTGGGTGTGTGACTGCGGCGGCCTGGCTGGTCCCCCATCCATCACGCACACGCCCTCTGAGAGACGACTATGGCGACAGCTCCCACTCCTCTCCCCGCGTGGACAAGGGCCCACAACCCTGTGCTGAGCCCAGCCGGGCCAGCCCTCTCCGGGCAGGGCCATGGTACCAGCCCCCAACGCATCCCCCAGGAAGCAGGGCCTCACCGCTGCGACAGATTCATCTCCTTGGCCACTCTCTGGGACATGGCCATGGCAGCCACTCGGCGGGGCTCGGTGACGCCGATGATGCCGTCATCGCTGGGGAAAGAGAACAGAACGCATCAGCAGTGACTGCCCCACTAAGACTCACGCCTGGCCTCACCCGGCCACGGTCGCACTGCTCAGCGCAGGCGGCAGCCCACGAACCAGGTAGGCAGCCACGCGGCAGCGGCCACGGGAGCGAGGCCGGTCTTGGTGTACGGCTGGGAAGCATTTCCAGGGCAAGTCATTAGGAGCAAAGCCAGGGGCACAGGACGCAGTGTCGGGGCTGGGCCTGTGTCCTGAACAGAAGGCTGGTGCTGGAGCAATCCAAGAGTACCAGTGCTGGCGCCTCGGCGTGACAGGCGCTCCACATGGCGCGTGCATGAGGGGAAAGGGGCAGCGCACCGCGACTTTCTGTATTATCTGCCGCTTTTCTGCCAATCCAAAATCACTCCAATAAAAAGCTGGAGGCAGGCCGGCGCCGCGGCTCACTAGGCTAATCCTCCGCCTTGCGGCGCCGGCACACCGGGTTCTAGTCCCAGTCGGGGCGCCGGATTCTGTCCCGGTTGCCCCTCTTCCAGGCCAGCTCTCTGCTGTGACCGGAGTGCAGTGGAGGATGGCCCAAGTGCTTGGGCCCTGCACCCCATGGGAGACCAGGAGAAGCACCTGGCTCCTGCCATCGCATCAGCGTGGTGCGCCGGCCGCAGCGCGCTGGCCGCGGCGGCCATTGGAGGGTGAACCAACAGCAAAGGAAGACCTTTCTCTCTGTCTCTCTCACTGTCCACTCTGCCTGTCCAAAAAAAAAAAAAAAAAAAAAGCTGGAGGCAGGCATTGGTACAGTGGTTCAGATGCCTCTGGGGGTTCGGCATTGTGGTACAGCAGGTAAAGCTGCCAAAGCTGCCACCTGAGACGCCAGCATCCATGAGCCTGGTTCAAGTCCTGGCTGCTCCACTTCCAATCCAGCTCCCTGCTGACGCACCCGAGAAGAATGGCTCAGGTGCTTGGGCGATGCAGATGGATTCCCAAGCTCCTGGCTTCAGCCCAGCCCAGCCCCAGCCATTGCGGCCATTCGGGGAGTGAACCAGAGGATGGAAGATCTCTGTCTGTCTCTCTCTCTATATATAAAACTCCACCTTTGCAATGAATCATTTTAGAAAAAGACAAGATGCTTTGGGGACATCCATGATCCACACCAGAGCCCTGGGCCTGGGGCCTGGCTCTGGTTCACTTCGCAGTAGGCAGCAGCTAACGGCTCAGCTACTTGGGCCCTGCCAGGCACTCGTTTGAGTTCCTGGCTCCTGCCTTTGGCCTGGCCCAGCCCCAGCTGTTGTGGACATCTGAGGAGTGAACCAGTGGACGGAGATCTCTCGCTTTTCTCTCTTCCCGTGTCTTTCAAGTAAATTTAAAAGATTTAAACAAAAAGTTTAGCAGAAAAAAGTTAGCTAGAGGACAGCATTATTTTTGGATAAGAGAAAGAAGAAGAATCTACTTGCACAGACTATCTCTGAAGGACATGTAAGAAATGGATTAGCTGCGTGCTGGCGGGAGGGCAGTGCCCTCCCAGAACTGGGGCTGTGGCCTTTCACATGGGAACCGTGTCAGTGTTGAATCAGAAAAATGGATGAGCCTTAACCATAAACCTGACCGCCGCTGCCTTTGCCTCTCTGGCGCAGCCTTGCCTGTGTGCCGTCCTAGTCACTGTCGGCCCCGCATCGCCTGCCTCCTGAGGCTGATGCCACGGCCCCGCTTTATACATGAGGACAGTCCAGGAGGGGTGACCAGAGCCTCCCCACCAGGGTCACCACATGGCAGGTTCTGTGGTACTGAGTCTGGCTCCCAGTGGACACTCCCAGGGCCAGGACCTCTGACATCTAGAACAGAGCTTGGCACAGACGGCCCGGGGACACCAGGCAGCTGCTGGAGGGAAGAGGCCTGGCTGGGGCAGTGTGGGCTGTGGGTGTGGGGCCTGCCCTATGGAGCACGGCTCCTCCAGACCCAAGGACTGGCCAAGGGGGCGGCTCGCGGTGCCTGGACTGCAGGGGCAGACGGGTGGCTTCCTCCTGGGTGGAGGGATCTGGTTACTGCCAGGCAGAGTGGGCCGGAGTCTCCAGTGAGTTTCCCCAGCAGGTGCCCATCACACATCGTCACACCTGTCTGTGGGGTCTGGTCTCCCTTGTGCCCTGCCCCACACTCCCACACCCTTTGTTGATTGTGCCTGTCTGTTGACCAATCAAAAAGCCACGGTGTGACCCCAGGCTGTCTGGACCTGGCGAGACACGCGTGGCTCCAAAGGGGGACGCTAATGCAGACGGCACTCGCGGTGCCAGGGCTGTTCGCGGCAGTGTCTTCTGCAGGTCCCCTCTCATCCTGACAGCCTGTGACGCCGGTGCTTGTGTCACCCCAGCTCCAGACGAGGACACTGTGGCTCGGAGAGTAACTCGCCTGAGTCACACAGCAGGAAACAGCAGGGCCAGGATCAGAGCCCCAGCGGTCCAGGCACTCAACGACTTTTGGGGACTGCACTCCACAGTGGCCGAGAGACTGCAGGGAGCCCTGCACCCAGCCCCTACCTGCTGTAGCCTGCTTCGTACAGGAACTGGGGCACCTGTGTCGTCTTCCCACTGCCGGTCTCGCCGCACACAATGACGATGGGGTGCTCGGCCACCGCCTCCATGATCACTTGCTCTTCAGAGAGAATAGGGAGCTTGAGCCGCTCCTCCTGGGGACAGAGAGGGGCCATCGTGGAGGGCACGGAGGGCGGGCCAGAGGTGGGGCCGTCATGGAGGGCACGGAGGGCGGGCCAGAGGTGGGGCCGTCGTGGAAGGCACAGAGGGCAGGCCATAGGTGGGGCCACACTCACACCCAGCAGCACCACATGGGGCACTGTGGCCTCCGTGGAGGGGCGGCTGGGTCATGTGTGGTGACAGCTGGGAGAGGGACAAGGAGCCACACGTGGCCCAGGGAGGCAGAGACAGGGACTGCGCCTGTGGGCCTCACGTCCTTGCACAGCCCGGCTGGGGCACACCTGACCAAAGTCAAGGACAGGTGACCTGGCAGCTCCTCCCCGGGTGCTTCCTCTAGATCCTCACGGGGTCCCGCACAAGCACGTGCACATCCCCCTAGATCCAGAGGAACTGTCTGGAAACACTTCTCACCCCTGTGTGCACACACCAGCACAACAACACTTCCCGACAGAGGAGGGGAAGACTGGTGGGCGGGTGGCCCAGTGCCAGCTGTGAGCTGCAGCCTGCAAGCACTCAAAAGGTTCAACTCCTGCCTGCTGCACTTCCAGTTCAGCTTCCTGCTAAGGCACCTGGGAAGGACTGGGCCCCTGCACCCACGTGCAAACCAGGGTGGAGTCCCCGGCTCCTGGCTGTGACCTGGCCCAGGCCCGGCCGTGGAGGCCATTTGGGCAGTGAAGCAGTGGATGGAAGACCTCTCTCTGCCTCTCACCTCCCTCTCTGTAACTCTGACTTTCAAATAAATAAATAAATAAAAGAAACTTAAAACAAACAAACAAAAAAGAATATTCAGAAGAGCATCAAAGGCAACACCAAAGGCCGAACAACTCAAGCGGCCACAAGAGAAAATACTCAACTCAGATTCCACACCAGGGAGCTCGACGGTGGCAGGCGGAAATGGGCCCCAAGACTCACACAACCGGGGAGCCTGCCAACACAACCACGCTGAGCAACACCAGCGCCAACCGCAGCGTCAAGGCCACCGCGAGACCGTGTATAGGGACAGGCAGACACAGGCAGCACCCGGCTTCCGACCAGGCTTATTATGGGACAAGAGAAGCAGGTGCAGAAGCCCCAGGGGACAGCGGAACACCAGATGGGGAGACACCAAACCACCTGGGCTCCATCACCTGGCAGCAACCTGCGGGGTGAAGCCACTGCCACTTCGGGGTCACGCGTCAGGCTGTCATCTGAGCTGCTGAGTATTTTATAAGCACACAAACGCACACAGAACTGGAATTACAATCCCATGACCAATACCTGTTCTTATTTGGAACAACGCCCTGATATTTTCTATCCTTTTACACTAAAAGAAAAGCAAGCTAGTCACATCCCACCTAACTGTCCACCACCCACTTCACAGCTTGAAACTCCTGGGGACCCAGCGGCCCTCGAGCCTCAGGGCCTTTGCCCATGCAGTTCCTAGCGACGGCTGGCCCCGCGGCTGCCTGGCTGCTGCGAGGTGGGCAGCTCTCACCTTTCCTGCTGGACTGTCAGCTCTGCAGGGAGCGGATCACTCCCCCGCCTGTGCCCAGTCAGGAGTGACCTGCAGCACACGCACAGCGGAGACAGTAGATGGACATGAACAACCACTGCCTGGGGTGGGCCAGGCCTCGGGCTGGGACCTCCCAGTCGTGCCCAACATCACTGGGGACACATGGACTCTGCCTCTGGGGTTTGAGTCCTGCAGGGGCGCGGCCTTCACACCCACCAAGCCCTCCCAGATGAAGGCAGTGAGGCCCAAGAAGTGACCTGGAGAGCGGCAGGACTGGCTCTGGGTTTGGGGCCATTTGATCCCACAGCCCCCCCTCTGATCCGGATCAGTGAGCAGCTGTGCCAGGCAGAGGGGGCAACAGTGCTGGTGGGAAAGCCAGCCACCAGGGCAGGCGGCCCTGGCAGTGTGCGTGTGGGGCCTGCCGAAGCTCAGCAGGCTTGTCCGGCCCCACCCCGTCCCGGGCAGGCGCAGTGAGACACTACTGCCCAGCGGAAGGACGCGGCCTGCTGCACTTCACGCCCTCACCCTCGCCCTCACCCCTCCATTGTTAATCCCAAACGCTGCGGTGGCAAACCTGCATCTCAGGGGAGCGGTGCACGGGGACGAACACAGCGGGCTTCGCCGGCGGCCTGGGCAGCGCTGCAGCTGCAGGAGCAGGGGTCCCGGACGCAGTGGGCTGGCAGGGGGGTGCCAGGCTCTGGTCCTCGGGCCCTGGCAAAGCTGGTGTCAGAGGCACTGCCACTGTCTCTGCACCAGGCAGCTCAGAGGCCGGGGCCTCGTCAGGCTCAGACTCCGCTGAGGACGCCGAGGACTCAGATCCCTCCTCTGCGGACGGCTCGCGACGGCGCTTCCGGTGGGCCCCACCGAGGCTGCTGATCTTCTGACCCTGGGCTGCTGCCTCGTCGGACTTCCTGCTGGGACGGCAAAGATGTCACCTGTGCAGGCCTCAGGACACCCAGGACAGCTCCGGGCTGCCAGACCCTCCCCTGAGGTCAGGACTCACAGGGCACGCCCCTTCCTACCTCAGGGCCTTTGCACTCACTGCTCACACCCCCCAAGCACCCATCCTGCAGACAACCTCTTCCCCACTCAGCTCTGCTTGAAGGCGCCTGTGGGGACGCTGTTCCTGATGGCACAGCCTGGAACACCGCCCCCTTCCCATGCTGGATACAAGCAGAGTCTTCACAAAGGTCATGCATTTCAAAAATTTCTGTACCCAAATAAAATTTTTTTGACAGAGAGCTTCCATCTGCTGGTTCACTCCCCACATGCCTGTAGTGGCTCCAGACGGACCTCAGCCAGGAGCTGGGAGCTCCATCCAGGTCTCCCGCATGGGTGGCAGGGACCCAGCGACTTGAACCACCACTTGCTGCCTCCCAGGGCGCGCATCAGCAGGAAGTTAAACAAGGCACGTGGAGCTGGGACTCACACCCAGGTGCTCTATGGGACGTGGGTGTCAACGGCTGAGGCAAAGGTGTGCCCTTAAAATGGTTATCTTTTAATTCGATTTTCTACACACTTTGAAATCACCCCATACCCGTGAGTTCACTGCCTGCGACCCCATGGTGACTGTAAGCTCCATAGGGGAGGCACTGTCCTTGGGTACTCTGTCCTCAGGGCCTAGGGGACAGCCTGTGACAGTTTGTCCTTGGTAAACAGCTGCTAACTGGACAAGACAGGATGGCCAGGACTAATACCAATCAACAGAGCAGAGGTGGGCATCACGGCCCAGTAGGTTAAGCAGCTGCTTACAACGCTGGCATCCCGCCCTGGAGAGCTAGTTCGAGTCCCAGATGCTCAGTTTCCAATCAGCTTCTTGCTGATGCGCCTGGAAAAGCAGCAGGCGGTGGCCCAAGTGCCTGGGGCCTGCTACCCACGTGGGAGACACAGATGGAGTCCCAGGCGCCTGGCCCAGCCCTGCTGCAGCCATCCGCAGAGTGAACCAGGGGATGGAGGATCTCCCATCTCAGATCAACCCTGCTCCCTCCGCTTCTCCCTCTCAAGTCAGTCAATCCATCTTGGAAAAAGAGAGGAGGCCAAGGGTGAGTGAGAGGGGCAGGAGGGGCACCCAGACTCATCTAAGGGTTCGCTGCCCACAGAAGTGGAGCGTCGGAACTGTCCAGCTGACCAAGACCAGGAGGTGGGGGACCGGTGTTGTGGCATAGCACGTTAAGTCACCGCCACGATGTGGGCATCCCATATTAGAGTGCCAAGTGGCGTCCCGGCTGCTCCACTGTGATACCACTCCCTGCTGATGCGTGGGCCCATTTCCCATGTGGGCGACACGGATGGAGCCGCAGGCATCTGGCTTCAGCCTGGCCCAGCCCCGGCTGCTGTGGCCATTCAAGGAATTAACCAGCGATGGAAGACCTCTCTGCCTCTCCCTGTCACCCTGTCTTTCAAATACATCTCTCTTTTTTATTTATTTATTTATTTGAAAGGCAGAGTTACACAGAGAGAGGAGAGGCAGAGAGAGAGGTCTTTCATCTGCTGGTTCACTCCCCAATTGGCTGCAACGGCCAGAGCTGCGCCGATCCGAAACCAGGAGCCAGGAGCTTCCTCTGGGTCTCCCATGCAGGTGCAGGGGCCCAAGGACCTGGGCCATCTTCCACTGCTTTCTCAGGCCACAGCAGAGAGCTGGATCGGAAGTGGAGCAGCCGGGTCTCAAACAGGCGCCCACATGGGAAGCCAGCGCCTCAGACCAGGGTGTTTACCCGCTGCACCACAGATGACCAGAGATGGAACTAGATTTTATGTAAAATCTCCAAATTGTTAAGTGCTGGCTGTACTGGTTGAACAGTGTCTCCCAAAATTCATGGCCACCCAAAGCCACACAGGGTGACTGTGTTGGGAACAGGACACTCCGCTGACCTGTGAGCCACAGGACAGGAGCAGCGGCCACGGTGCCTCTCAATAGAGCAGGCGCTCAGTGCTGAGACCACCTCACAAGCTGCCCTCCCCTGCCCCCACCCAAAGGGGCAGCGGCAACTCACTCTCTGCGGAGGTACACGCCCTCCCGCCCTCCCCCTCCCCAGCAGTGACCGCTCACTCTCTGCGCAGGTACACGCCCCCGCCCTCGGCCCACCGCTCACTCTCTGCGGAGGTACACGCCCCCCGCCCTCCCCCTCCCCGGTAGTGACCCCTCACTCTCTGCGGAGGTACACATCCCCCGCCCTCCCCCTCCCCGGCAGTGACCGCTCACTCTCTGCGCAGGTACATGCGCTCCCCGGTGCCCAGCTTGGACGTGGTGTAGAACAGCTTCATCTCGGCCTCCGACGCCTGGACCGTGCTCAGCTTCTGCAGCAGCTCCGCTCGCTGGGAAGGGAAACATGCGTGTCTGACACCTGGCCTCGCGACGCTCCGGGCGACTCTAAACAGAATCTCAGCACGTGCACCCCTGCACTCTCCCCGCCGCGGCTTCACGGTGCTCCTGGGTCAGCCGGGCAGCGGAGGCAGCTCCCTCTGGCACCGACTGCCCACACGCCCACCAGCAGGACACCGCGTGGGGCCTGGCCCAGGCCCCTGCTGGTGGAGGCAAGCTGGCCCCAAACTGCCTGGCATTAACGCGGTAGGAGGGGCGAGGGCCGGCGGGTTCTGCCATCCCAGTGAAATCCTCCTCGTGAGTTTTCAAGACGGATTGATTGATTTCAAATGCAGAGTGAAGAGACACCTTCCATGGCTGGTTCATCCCCCATACCTGTAACAGCTGGAGCTGGGCTAGGCTGAGGCCAAGAACTCCACCTGTGTCCCAGAGGACAGGGGCCAGGAGCTGGCCTGGAAGCGCACCAGCTCCCTCCTGTATGGCATGCGGATGTCCCTGTGCTGACACTGGCCCCACCCCTCTGTTCTTCAAAGCGTCCACATGCGCACCTCACAATTACAGGGCTCGGGAACAGGGACACATACTGACCAGTGCTTAGGACACACTCGGGTGGGCAGGCGGCATGCCAGTGAAGACGCCGTCCCAGCTCCCTGCTGATGCCCCTGCCACCCCGCGGGAGACCCAAACTGAGCTCTGGGCTCCTGGCTTCACCTGGCCCAGCCCTGGCACTTGCAGCCACGTGGGGAGTGAACCGGCAAATGGAAGATCTCTCTCTCTCTCTCTCTCATCTCTCCCTCTTTCTCTGTAACTCTGCCTTTCAAACAAATAACTCTCACAAAACAAAACCGCCCAGCACCGAGGGCACAGGCCCGGCCACAGTCAACGCTGACCTCCCGGCCCCTGGACCACAGCCCTGGCCATGACGCTGCTGACCCTCGGGGCTGGGCCATATCCGTTCTGTCATCACGGCCTGGACAGCAGCCTCCCCGGCCCCCTCTCAGCTGCCAGCTGCACCCCCAAGTTTTAAACCTGCAGAACTGAGGCAGAACTGACCCAGCAGGACAGGTGCAGTGCTGACTTACAGGAAGCCTGGAAGCAGCGAGACCCATCACAGGGAGACGCAGGGAGACGCAGGGAGACCCCACTCCCAGCAGTGAGACCATCACAGGGAGACGCAGGGAGACACAGGGAGACACCGGCCCCCAGCAGTGAGACCCATCACAGGGAGACACAGGGAGACACCGGCCCCCAGCAGTGAGACCATCACAGGGAGACGCAGGGAGACCCCACTCCCAGCAGTGAGACCATCACAGGGAGACGCAGGGAGACACCACTCCCAGCAGTGAGCTCCCGCATCGCAGGAGAGCCGTGGGAGGAGACGCAGGGAGACCCCACTCCCAGCAGTGAGACCATCACAGGGAGACGCAGGGAGACCCCACTCCCAGCAGGGAGCTCCCGCATCGCAGGAGAGCCGTGGGAGGAGACGCAGGGAGACCCAGCTGCTGAGCACACCACACACATGGACTGGTACTAAAAGCCCAGCTCCTCTCACACGGCCGTGCTTCCAGGGCGCGACAGGTGCCTGTGGCTCCCGCACAGGACCAGGCAGAGAACACGTCCCTCATTCCAGTTCTAGGGATGGGCCCACTGCAGAGACCGTGGGGGGGGGGGGGGGGGCGCACCTGGCTCTTCTTCTCCTTCTGCTCCAGGACCCTCTGCAGGGCCTTCCGCTCCTTCCTGCTCAGGGGCTTCCTCTCCTTCCGCGGGGGCGGGGCTCTGGTCTTCTTCTTCTTCCTCCCGGGCAGGACAAGCGCGTTGCTAGCATCCACGCCTTTCAACGTGTCCTTGTCTGCAAAGACATCACCACCTCGTGCACAGCCCGGGATGTCTGGGGCCATCCTCCCGCGGGGCGCTCTGCCCCCAACCGACCCCACCCCAGGACGGGCCCAGAGAGCCCCGGGAACGGAGGGCTGAAGGACTTTCCTAAGAACACAGGATGCTCTCGTCAAGGGTGTGTGTGGGGGGAGGGCTTTCAGGGCAGCGGTTAAGGTGCCACTGGAGGTGCCTGGGTTCAAGTCCAAGCAGCTTCTGGGAGGCGGCAGGCGATGGCTCAAGTACTTGAGTCCCTGCCACTCACATGGGAGCCCAGACTGAATTCCTGGCTCTTGGCTTCAGATGCTGTGCACATACGGGGAGTGAACCAGTGGACAGGAAATCTGTCTCCCTGCCTCTCAATATAAATAAATACATAAGAATTTTTAAAAATTTAAAAGAGAGTATACAGAATGGAGTTTGAGTCTTTTTTTATTTATTTGACAGGCAGAATTAGACAGTGAGAGAGAGACAGAAAAAAAGGTCTTCCTTCCGTTGGTTCACCCCTCAAGTGGCTGCCACAGCTGGAGCTATGCCAATCCCAAGCCAGGAGCCAGGTGCTTTCTCCTGGTCTCCCATGTGAGTGCAGGCGCCCAAGCACTTGGGCCATCCTCCACTGCCTTCCTGGGCCTCAGCAGAGCTGGACTAGAAGAGGAGCAACCGGGACTAGAACCCAGCGCCCATATGGGATGCCAGAGCCGCAGGCAGAGGATTAACCAAGTGAGCCATGGCGCCAGCCCTGAGCCTTTTTTTTTTTTTTTTTTTAAAGATTTATTTGAAAGGCAGAGAGAAAGACATTAGCAGGGAGCTGGACTGGAAATTGAACAGCCAGGACTTAAATCGGCGCTCCAACGCTGGCATCACAAGCGACGGTGTAACCTGCTGTGCCACAACGCTGGCCACCAGGCTCGCCAATTCCAAACACAGCAGTCTGCAAGCCCATAATCTGCGCCATTTGAGAGAAATCCACTTCTAGTGCTCTCCTTGGGAGTGCCTCTTTCTGGCTTACATCAGACGCCGGGTTCCTGTACGGGCAGTGCCTGATCCTTTGTCCCCTCTCAGGAGGCTCGTGACTCTAATTAAGAACGTTCGAGCTGTACTAGCTATACCCGTGCTGCAGTTCTCAAGCAGACAGGCAAAACCCCCACAATCCACAAACCAAAGCCAGGCCCGCACACAGAGGCGCTTTCTTGCGTTTCCAAACTGTCTCCACTTTAATTTCTATTACGGCCAATACCGGTTGGGGTGCTCGACTTTTAACCACCCTGCGAGACCAAAAAATCCCAGAACCCCAGTGTTGCAGAAACCATGGATGAACACCGGTGAATCGCGGGGAGTGGGTGGGGTTGGACGGGTCAGGAAGGTTCTCCCCAGGCCCCTCCACTCCGGGAAGACAGGGACACATGGAGACCCCACTCCCCAAGCCTCCGGGTCCAGGAGACCCCACTCCCCAAGCCTCCGGGTCCAGGAGAGCTCGCGCCTCTGCGGCAGTTCCGACGCCAGCCGGACGGAGGTCTGTGGCCCTGAGAGGGGCCGACTGCGCTGTCACAGGGCGGCAGGCCTCGGGAGCCCTGACCTGCCGCCGCGGCTTCCTTTCAGTCCCCCACACACTTCCCTGCGTACATCTGCGCCGACAGCAGGCAGGACGGCCAGTGGTTCCACTTTACAGAGGGAACACTGAGGCACAAGACATTGGTGACCTGCCCCAAGTCCGGCCAACCCACGCAGCTTCTGAGGAGGTCCAGACTCTCCCTGTGGCCAATGCCCCCCTGTGTTGGGCCCAGGGGTCCTCCTGTCCCGCCCTCCCAGGTGCCCTCAGCGAGCCAACCCCAGCTTCCCAGCTTCGGGCTGAAAACAAACACTGCGTCTACACAGCCGGCTCCGAAACACGCATCTCCACCTGCACTTGCGGGCAACAGCCGCCCACCGGCCCCGCTCGCGCCCCGGAGGCCCCGTCCTCTGTCTCTGCAGCTGTGGCCTCCAGCGACACGTTCTCCCTGGGGGCGCCCCAGGAGCTCCGGCCCAGACCCCTCCTCGGCGCCACGGCTGCAGCCGCTCGTCCACACCGCGTCCCGGGGGCTGTGCCTGGCTGCCCTCGCCCGTCTCCTCCCGCAGGTGCGGCGGGCAGGCTGCCTCCAGGGCCCAGGACCCTCAGCCCGGAGCCGGGCACACCGTCCGCGCCGGGAACACCACGCCAGGGGCCGTGGAAATGCACGGAACCGCCCCCATCTTCTGGCTACGTTCTCCGCCTGCCACAGAAGAAGCGCCGGGTGCTGTCCACCCCAAAAAGCCCCCGGCAGCCCGACAGCCCGGCCCGGCCCCGCCCCGCCCCGGGAGCCTCACCCTCCAGTTCCAGCCGCACGGGAGGCGGCTCGGGGGCGCTCTTCGAGGGGCCGGGGGCCGCCTGCTGCCGCCCCTTGACGTTATACCGCCGGCGCAGCTTCCCCATCGCGCCTCCGGCCGGACTGCCTCTGCGGACCGCGACCCCAAGCCCGCTACACGTGGGTTCCCCGGCCACCGGCTCCAGACGTGTGACTTCCGAGTTGTGCTCTCGCGATAGCTGCAACTCACCGGGCCGCTGAGAGGTGGGGCTGCAGCGAGACCACGCGGAAAGGCGGGGCCAGGCCAGGGCGGGGGCGCGGCCAGGCGAGGTGGGCGGGGCCAGGCCATGGGCGGGGCTGCAGCGAGAACATGCGGAAAGGCGGGGCCGTGTGGGTGGGCGGGGCCTGCGGGGAGGGCGGGGACAGCCGGGGCTGGGCGGGGCACACTGGAGGCGGGGGCGAGGCGCTGAGGTCCCCGAGGACAGGAGAGCTTGAGTCCGGAGCTGTTCTCCCGCGGTGGGTCCTGAGACTAGATCGGAGTGATCCGCTAATACTGTGCTATGTTGGCCCCAGCGAGTGCTGTCAGTTCCGCCCCTAGGAGGAACTTCCCCCGCTCTCCTCTGCGCGTCCATGCTTTGTGATGCTCCTACAAGGAACCTGTTCACTCCAGTCCTCTTCGGAGAACCGGGGCAGACTGCAAGAAGCCCCTATTCCACCGCCTTCAACTCGCCCCTGCGCACGCGAACACCGGCTCCTCTGGACCGCGGCGTCATCCTGGGGACAGGAGTCACCCTGGGCCACTGTTCTCCGTTCAAAACATTAATTCATTCGGAGAAAACACTTAGATTACACTATAGACACCGAGAAATTGTATCACAGAGACGCTAGCAGTTATTTTAACCTTTTAGAAAGGACGGGAAGAGAAGAGAATGTCTACCCCGAGTGTGTTCTCTGCTAATACCACATTAACATGGAAAAAGGAAGAACCAGATGGTAAAAACATTTTTAGGAAAGATAAAGTTACTTTAAAACCGGCCCCATGAAAACCGTGGAGAACCTAGAAGGAATGCATAATGAGGGGCTGGCTTGTGGCACAGCAGGTGAGGCAGATTGGTGTCCCGGCTGCCCCACTTCCAATCCAGCTCCCTGCTGATGTGCTGGGAAAGCCTGGGGGCCGTGTAAGTGCTTGGGCCCCTGCACCCGCGTGGGAGACCCAAGCAGTTCCAGCCTTCTGGCTTCCACCCGGCTCAGTCTTGACCATTGCAGCCATGTGGGGAGTGAATCAGGGTAGGAAGATTCTCTCTCTCTCTGTCCTCCCCTCTCTCTAACTCTGCCATTCAAATTAATAAATCTTAAAAACAAAAGTGTGATTGAATTTAGATAAGTTCTCCTTCCCATGCAAAAAAATCCCAAATCAAAACCAAAACAAACTTTCAGGTGTTGCATGTCAGAATTTACATACTACACATATGAGCATTTTAAGGAAGTATATATATATATATATTTTGACAGGCAGAGTGGATAGTGAGAGAGAGAGAGAGAGAGAGAGAAAGGTCTTCCTTTTGCCATTGGTTCACCCTCCAGTGGCCGCCACGGCTGGCGCGCTGCGGCCGCTGCACTGCGCTGATCCAAAGGCAGGAGCCAGGTGCTTCTCTTGGTCACCCATGGGGGGGTGCAGGGCCCAAGCACTTGGGCCATCCTCCACTGCACTCCCGGGCCACAGCAGAGAGCTGGCCTGGAAGAGGGGCAACCAGGACAGAATCCGGCGCCCCGACCGGGGCTAGAAGCCCATGTGCCGGTGCTGCTAGGTGGAGGATTAGCCTAGTGAGCCATGGCGCCGGCTGGAAGTATATATTTTTAGAAGATATTCATTTTAATGGATTTTTAAGAGGTATAATTAGCATATCAAACCTGTATTTTCAGGGCTGGCACTCTGGCATAGCAGGTTAAAGCTCTGGCCTACAGTGCCGGCAACCCATTTGGGTGCCGGTTCAAGTCCCGGCTGCTTCACTTAGGATCCAGCTCCCTGCTAATGCACCTGGGAAAGCAGCAGAGGATGGCCCAAGTCCTTTAGGCCTCTGCACCCATGTGGGAGACCCGGAAGAAGCTCCTGGCTCCTGACTCTGGCCGTTGCAGTCATTTGAGGAGTGAACCAGCAGATGGAAGACCTCACTTTCTCTCTGCCTGACTTTACCTCTATTTGTAACTATGTCAAGTAAATAAAAATTAAATCTTAAAAAAAGCCTAGTGAGCTGTGGCGCCGGCCAAAGATCCTCTGTAAATTTGTTTAAATAGTGTTCTATATATTTGTAAGATTCAATGTTTAGTTTTCTAAATTAGCTAATTTATTTGAGAGGCAGAAGAGAGAGAAAGCTCCCCAAATGCCCACAATGGCCGCTAACGGGCCAAAGCCTGGAGCTGGGAACTCCATCCAGGTCTCTCAGGTGGGTGTCAAGGACCCAATTACTTGAGCCGCCCCCTGCTGCCTCCCAGGAATGTTGGAACTAGGGGCAAGACACTGAAGCTAGGCATTCCAATACGGGAGGGAGCGTCTTAGCCGCCAGGCCAAACACCCACCCTTCAAAGTTGTAAAACGTAGGAAGCTGGGAGTAGTCTTCTGACGTGGCCATTAAGATGCCTGCGTCCCCCTGATGGGAGTAGCTGGGTTCGAACCTTTTCCCGTTCCAGCTTCCTGCTAGTAAAGACCTTGACCCAGGGTGCCGGTTATTGTGAGCTCATTTGTGAACTCCTGGAGAGCTGCCACACGATTTTTTGTATTTTCTGTAGGTTCTGTTCTATTACCTCAAAATTCACTGACCACAAACACCACCAAAAAAAGTCCCACGATGCGAACAGGCAGTTCACAGAGGAGTACACCCAGCCGCCAGGGGACCTGTGGAAACCTGATGGGGAATCCAGGGGTTGCAAATTTAAAGACAAAATAGTTCACTCTTTGGGTTAGCAAAAATTAAGTTTTATTTTTCTGGTTGTCTCATGATTCAGGATGTCTAGGGAAGGGAAAGTTTCTACCCTGTAAAGGTTTGATAATTGAGTCTATGAAATAAACGGACAGGAGACAAACTCAGAAGAACCATTCTAACTGCACGGAAACAAACATCCAGGAGCCGGCAAAACACGGTACCCAAGAGTGTGAGGCAAGAGAGGGCGCGGCGGCACTGGCAGCGAATCCCACACGGCTCACGCCACTGGGCTCGCGTTTTAGAAGATGCTCAGGAAAACCTAACACTGAACTCAGCGGGGACCGGAGCACCAGGACTCGGACCCAGTCTGAGTCAGATTCAAAATAAATAAATAAATAAATAATTATAGGGGCCGGTGCTGCGGTGCAGCGGTGCAGCGGGTTACAGCCCTGGCCCGAAGCACCGGCATCCCATGTGGGCGCCAGTTCGAGTCCCGGCTGCTCCTCTTCCAACCCAGCTCTCTGCTATGTCCTGGGAGAGCAGTGGGGGATAGTCCAAGTCCTGCACCCGGCCCCTGCACCCGCGTGGGAGGCCCAGAGGAGGCTCCCGGCTTTAGATGGCGCAGCTCCGGCCGTTGTGGCCATCTGGAGTGAACCAGCGGATGGAAGACCTCTCGCTCGCTCCTCTCTCTGTAACTCTGCCTTTCGAATAAATAAACCTGAAGTGATTAATAATAATAATAATAAAAAGCCCTTTACTGTCACCGGTGAACGAAGCAGCTCCCACTCGAGGCTGATTATCTGCTGACACCGGAAGCAAATGGATCCCTCGTGTCCACTAGCAACAGGAGAGGCCGGACTCAAGTTTCACAGCATGGGGGCATCGGGGCTGGCCACGGCCAGAGTGGACACACACACACACACACACACACACACACAGCAGAGGGGCGCCTGCGCTCAAGATCCGTTCCCCGAAGGCGGAGGAACAGGCGCCGGCCATGGGGGCGCCCGCGGAGGGCCCCTCGGGCCGCGCTGTCCCTCCAGGGCTCTGGGTGGGGGCCTCCCGGGCCCCTCAGAGGCCAGCCAGGTCCTGGCGCTGCCCGAAGTGACCACGACTCGGTCACACCCGGCGGCCTCGCTGGCCCCCGCACCCGCTCGGGTTCTAATCCCCGGGAAGACCCTCCCGTCCCAGCGGCTCCGGACCTCCGTCGGCTCGGGAAGGGCGCGTCTGGGGGCAGTGCTGTGCCCCCTCGCCCCATTCCGCCCTGCTGAGCCGGCTCCGAGTTCTGCAGGCGCGGGGCGCTCTCCGCAGCGAACCCAGTCTCCCCGGCCGCCAGACGCCCCCCGGCCCCGGGGCGGCTTCCGGGAGGGTGGGGGCGGGGCGCGGCGTGGGCAGGGCCGGCGCCCGTGGGGGCGGGGCGCGGCGTGGGCAGGGCCGGCGCCCGTGCGCGCGGGGCGGGGCGGGCGGGAGGCGCGGCGGCGGCGGCCGGAGGAGCGACGCGCGGCCCCCGAGCGCGCCCACGCCGTCCCCGCACGCGGTCCTCGACCCGCTCGGCGACCCCGCAGCCGACCCCGCGGCCGAGCATGGGCGCGCGCTCCTCGGCCGGGCCCCGCGCCCGGGCCGGGCTCCTGCCGCCGCTGCTGCTGCTGCTGCTGCTGCTCGGGCCGCTGGCGCAGGGGGCGCGGGGCCGCGGCGGCGCCGAGAAGAACAGCTACCGCCGCACGGTCAACACCTTCTCGCAGAGCGTCGGCAGCCTGTTCGGCGAGGACAACGTGCGCGCCGCGCAGAAGGTGGGCGCTGGGCCCGCGCCCGCGGTCACCTTGCGGGGCCGCCCCGCACCTGGCGCCCGGTGGTGGTGGCGGTGGGGGGTGGGGGGTGGGGGTGCCCGGGGCCGGCCTGGGTCGCGCGCGGCCTCCGGAGCCGGCGGTCCGGCGGGGCGAGGGGCCCAGGCCTGCCGACCGGGCCGGTTCGCAGGGCCGCGGGGTTGCCTCTCCCGGCGCCCGGCTCTCCTTGGACTTTGGCCCGAGGGCAGCGCTGACGCCGGCCGCGCTGCGTTTCATTCATTCGCGGCGTTGAATGGGCCCCACTGTTGAGCCAGGCGCGGGCGCGCGCCCCGGGCTCCCGGCGTCTTCCGGGCTCGCGCGCGCCCCGGCGAACCCTCGTGGCGGGGCCGCTCGAGCGCCTTCCGGGCGCGGGGCTTCCACCTGCAGCCGCGCTTGCTTTGAGGCTGCGCGGGAGCCCGCGAGCTCTCCCCGCTGCCGCCCCGGCGCGGAGAAAGGGGAAGTCGGGGGCCAGGGGGGCGGTGCGTGCCCGCGCCCTGCTCCCCGCTACTGCTTCGCTGGCAGTTGGCCCTGGGGTCTTGAAGTGGAGAGAAGTTTGGGCTGGGGTCTCTGCCCCCTGGAAAGCCGGTGGCGCCAGGCCAGTGGCTTCGCTTCTTCGAGCTCCGTGTCTTTATCTGGTGAACGGCTCCGTTATGAGGCTGCAGTTGGAGGAGTTGGTACCTTCCTGGCTCACTGTGGCAGCCAGTTAGTGCCAGCTGTTGGCTCAGGCCAGGGTGCAAATCCACGAGGCACGGCCTTGCTGGAGAACTCTGCAGGGTTAAAGTTTTCTCATCCTTGAGATGGAGCAGCGGGGGTGGGGAGCCACTGACACCCAGGACAGGGCAGGGGTGGGGTGGGGAACCCACAAACACCCAGGTCAGTGCAGGGCAGGGGTGGGGTGGGGAACCCTCTAACACCCAGGGCAGGGCAGGCGTTTGGCCAAGTGGGTAGCACACGCGCTGGAGCGCCCGGGTTCCTTACCCAGCTCTGCTCCACGCCGGCTTCCTGGCACGGCAGACCCCGGGAGGCAGCCATGGTGGCCCAAGTGGTTGGGTCCCTGCTGCCCACCCCAGAGACCTGGACTGGATTCGCAAGTCCAGGCCCAGCCCCCACTGTTTAAGGCATTTGGAGGACTGAATCAGGGTGAGATCTCTCTGTCTCTCTGCCCGTCGAAAACTAATTTTAAAAATGTTTAACATTTTTTAATTAAACAGTTTATTCAGTTTTTAAAATTTCTGTGTGAAAGAACATTTCCGTGTGCTGCTTTACTCCCCAATGCCTGCAGCAGTTAGCCGCTGGGCCAGGCCGGAGCTGGGCCCGCTCACCCACTGGCCGCCCGCTGCTGCCTTCCCAGGTGCATTAGCCGGAGCTGGCTGGGAGCGTGAGTATCCCTGACTTGAACTAGCACTCCAGTGTGGGATGTGGGGCCTTAACCTGCTGGACCGCGATTGGTTGTTTGAAAAGCAGATCAGATTGGCTGATGTTCCGAGTGGCTGCCGGGAAAAGCAGGTGAATCGGTCAGCAATGCTGAGCTCTGACCGACCTGCCCCGGGTGTGTCTCCCACCTAGGAAGCGGTGCAAGGCCAGAGGAGAGAGCTGTTTGTCCTTAGCCGGGGCAGGAAGGAGAGAGACCCAACACAGAACACCCTGGTGCCAGAAGGTTGCCCTGGGTCTCTCTGACTTCACGCTGCCTTGCCTGGCCTGTTTAAAGGCGGAAATCTTTGCTTTATTTTTTATTTTTTTAAAGATATATTTATTTATCTGAAAGAGAGAGAGAGAAGGGGAGGCAGAGAGAGAGGTCTTCCATCCACTGGTTCACTCCCCAGTTGGCCACAACGGCCGGACCTGTGCCAATCCGAAGCCAGGAGCCAGGAGCTTTTTCCGGGTCTCCCACAGGGGTACAGGGGCCCAAGGACTTGAGTCATCTTCTGCTTTCCCAGGCCATTAGCAGAGAGCTGGATCAGAACTGGAGCAGCCTGGTCTCACACCGGTGCCCATATGGGATGCAGGCACTGCAGGCGGCAGCTTTAGCAGCTACGCCACAGCACTGGGCCGAAATCTTTTGTTTCAGAACAGAAAGGAGGTCTGCCTTTTTCCTGCAGGGCAAGCACAGGGGCGGGTGTCTCAGCTCACAGCTCCGCGGGAGGGTGTAAGCCACAGACGTGACACGCGCACCGGGTGCTGAAGGACCTTTGTGTGTCCTGGGGTCAGAGCTCTTGCTGATGTGTGGACGGTGCCGACCACTTCTCTCCCTTAGCACGACAGGCAACAGGCCTGCTTCCATTTTACAGATGAGAAAACCGAGGCCACAGCGTGGTGGAGGGGTGGGTTCAGGGGGAATGGCAGTCAGGGAGAGTTTGAACCCAGGCAGGGTGCGCGTGGAGCCAGTGGCTCCACCGATCCTCCAGACGGTAAAGCGTCTGGAACGAGGCCGCCCTGGCTGTATTTCCCGCCGAGTGTGGCTGGGGCAGGCTCCGCGTGGGGGAGACTGGTGTGTTAATTTTAATTGAGGGAAAACTGGGTCTGCCTGGGTTTCCTGATTATAGCCAGCCCTGCTTTGTGGGTTGTGAGGTTTGGCGGTGCTTAAAGAGACACCCCGTATTCTAATTAGGACTTGGCTCAAACCCGGGGCCTCGTGTCCCGAGCATGGGCCTTGCTGACCACTAGAAGTGGGTCTGAATCCAGCTCTGCCGCTCATTGTCTGCGAGCGTGGGCCTGTTGCTCTGCCTCTGCGTCTCACGTGTGCACAGGAGATGAACGGGGGTTCACTGTGCTTGCTGAGTCGTGCAGAACCAGGCACTGTGTAATTAAATATTTATGGACAACAGGAACTGCATTCAGTCGTTCATTTAAAAGTTACCAAGCACCTGGTGCGGGAGCGCTCATAGCACTGCTTGTCCTGGTAGCCAAAAAGTGGAGCCAGCCCAGGTGCCCGGCAGTGGGTGAACGGGCCCGCCACTTAGTGGAGTGCGGTTCAGCCAGGAAAAAGGATTTGTGCTGACACATGGATGAACCTTGCAAAAGTGAACGCAGCCACGGATCGTGTGACTCCGTGTGTGTGCCACACCGAGAAGAGGAGAGGCGGCGAGAGCATTTGCTGGGGGCAGGGGGTGCGGTTCCTGCTTAGCTGATTTGGGGTGATGGTCACCCCACATTGGGAACGCGCACAATGTCACTGCACTGTGTGCTCTGGGGTGGCTGACGTGCGAGTCACGTTATGTGCATTTCTCCACAATTAAAAACATTAGGCCAGCGCCGCGGCTCACTAGGCTAATCCTCCGCCTTGCGGCACTGGCATACCGGGTTCTAGTCCCGGTCGGGGTGCCGGATTCTGTCCCGGTTGCCCCTCTTCCAGGCCAGCTCTCTGCTGTGGCCCGGGAAGGCAGTGGAGGATGGCCCAAGTACTTGGGCCCTGCACCCCATGGGAGACCAGGAGAAGCACCTGGCTCCTGCCATCGGATCAGCGCGGTGCGCCGGCCGCAGCAAGCCAGCCGTGGCGGCCATTGGAGGGTGAACCACCAGCAAAGGAAGACCTTTCTCTTTCTCTCTCTCTCTCTCTCTCACTCACTCACTGTCCACTCTGCCTGTCAAAAAAAAAAGGCATTACACCTGCTGTACGTGGCGCTCAAGCTGGACCAGGTGGTCCCTCCCAGGGGGCCTCCATGGTGGGGTCGTGGCAGGTGAACGGGCAGTGATAAGCTGCACATGCGTAAGGTGACATGGTTGTTTGCCTACGGTGAGTGGGCCCGGCACTGTTCTGCGAGAGGTTTGGCTGTTTTCACCTCCGTTTGCAGGTGAGGAGGTCGAGGCATAGAAAGATTGAATCTCTTGCCCACGGTTCTGCCGATGAGCGGTGGGGAGCCGGCAACGTGTGTCCTTGGAGCCTTTGCAGACCTGAGAGTAGCTGGGAGAGTGGAGTCCAGCGAGTGACCCAGGCAGGGGCTGGGGAGAGCACACTGGGCAGATGGAGCAGTCAGAGCAGAGGCCCCGGGGTGGGGATTGGCCTGGCCTGGGCCGGGTGTGCGGGGGAAGAGGCGGTCGGGTCACTCAGGACTTACGGTTTGGCACACCCGACGTGCTGATAATGCCAGAGCTAAGAAGACAGGACAGGGGAGGACAGGGATGCAGGGGCCTGGGCGTGGAGGAAGTCACAGGACAGTGGGGCAAGGTTCACAGGGGGTGGCATTTGCCGTTGGGCCCATGGGCTGGGGACTTCCTGAACGGCGCGCTGAGAAACTGGGGCTTCTTCCTCCTTGCTCACAGTTGCTTGGAAAATGATTTCGAATAGATGAGAAGGGCGGCTGTCAGTCTGGCCGTCGCTAACCGCCACCCCCAGCAGCGAAAACATGCACACGGGTCCTGCTTCGCTGGTTTTTTTTTTTTTTTTTTTTTTTTTTTTTTTTTTTGACAGGCAGAGTGGACAGTGAGAGAGAGAGACAGAGAAAGGTCTTTTTCCGTTGTTCACCCTCCAATGGCCACTGTGGCTGGCCAGGTGCTTCTCCTGGTCTCCCATGGGGTGCAGGGCCCAAGCACTTGGGCCATCCTCCACTGCACTCCCGGGCCACAGCAGAGAGCTGGCCTGGAAGAGGGGCAGCCGGGACTAGAACCCGGTGTGCCGGTGCCGCAGGCGGAGGATTAGCCTAGTGAGCCGTGGCGCACACACACACACACACACACACACACCCGGTTTGGGTTTTTGTTTATTTTGTGCCTCCTTAGCTCTTGGGACGGCACGGAGCTTGGCTCCGTTCTTTCTCCAAGGCTACCAAGACCAGGTGGCTGTGAGGGGGCACGGCAGTTGGTTCCACCCCTGACGTTGACCTTTGGCCTGTCTTTGCCAGTGCTCAGGGGACCACAGTGGAGGTCTTTCTGTAGACATTGTGCTGCGTGCACATGGACAGTTTCTTCTGTAAATTGGTAAGAATGGAGCTGCTGAGTCAAAGCCTCTGTACATATTAATTTTTTTTAAA